CTATTGATCTCTGCGTTCTGTACTATTGATCTCTGTGTTCTCTGCGTTCTGTACTATTGACCTCTGCGTTCCATACTATTGATCTCTGCGTTCTGTACTATTGATCTCTGCGTTCTGTACTATTGATCTCTGCGTTCTGTACTATTGATCTCTGCGTTCTTGACAATCAAACTGTGCGTTCTGTACTATTAATCTCTGCGTTCTGTACTATTGATCTCTGGGTTCTGTAATATTGATCTCTGCGTTCTCTGTGTTCTGTACTATTGATCTCTGCGTTCTATGCGTTCTGTACTATTGATCTCTGCGTTCTGTACTATTGATCTCTGCGTTCTGTACTATTGACCTCTGCGTTCTGTACTATTGATCTCTGCGTTCTGTACTATTGATCTCTGCGTTCTCTGCGTTCTGTACTATTGATCTCTGCGTTCTTGACTACCAAACTGTGCGTTCTGTACTATTAATCTCAGCGTTCTGTACTATTGATCTCTTGGTTTTGTAATATTGATCTCTGCGTTCTATGCGTTCTGTACTATTGATCTCTGCGTTCTATGCGTTCTGTACTATTGATCTCTGCGTTCTGTACTATTGATCTGTGCGTTTTTTATTACCAAACTGTGCGTTCTGTACTTTTGATCTTTGCGTTCTTTACTACCAAACTGACCTCTGCACTGTGCGTCACACCGCTGGACTCTGCACTGTGCGTCACACCACTGACCTCTGTACCTTGCACCACATTGCTGACCTCTGTACTGTGCGTTACACCCTGACCTCTGTACTGTGCGTCACACCGCTGATTTCTGCATTACACTACTGCACACTGCATTACACTATTGACCTCTGCATTATTACTGGCATCGGGCCGCTACCCCGGAGCAACACAGACTATGAAGCTTCATATTATTCTGCATTGCTGTAGAATGTATTGCTGGGATTTGTAGTCCTCTTTAGCGGTTGGTATTCTGCATTGCTGTATAATGTATTGCTGCATAATGAACCTCTGTGGTGGATCAGTGTCTTTAGATCCGTTTCTATGCTCTTTTCTTTTGGTGCGGTGGTGCCCTCCTGATCGACCATGGAGGTGAGGTTTGAAATCACTTTATTCAAATCTTTCCTCCATGACAGATTATATGGGGCACCGCCGGGAAAATAGAAGCAAGCCCAGAGAGCTTCGCCTCTGTGGGGATGAGGAAGGACGCCGTAGAACAGTAGAAAGGCATCATGGCACACTCACAAACCAGCATGTAAAACAACTTGTCTCACCACTAAGGACAATGACAGAGGTTTGGATACATCCTGCAAAGGATGTGTAGGCACCTCTTCTAGTGCGGTCCTAACTCTAAACTATGAGAGTGTCCATCTTGGAGCACATGGGGCAGAAGATATCAAATTGGGTGCAGGCCTGTCACACTTGCCTTGGCGCGGCAGTGCGGCTTACACATCCTTTGCAGAAGACGTGTATCCAAACCTCTGTCATTGTCCTTAGTGGTGAGACAAGTTGTTTTACATGCTGGTTTGTGAGTGTGCCATGATGCCTTTCTACTGTTCTACTGTTCAAAGCCCATTTCGTGTGCACCTTACTGTATAACTGGTAACAAATTGTTGAGTGAGGAAGGACGCCGGCCCCCGTTTGGATGGAGAACTTTTTCCTGAGGGGGAGCAACTCTGAGCCTTCCGGGTGGTGTAATGTCTAGCTTTGCCTCTGCTTCCCTGCAGAGAGAGTGGAGAGAGAGCGTCCGGGGTGCCATAGACACGCAGAGGCTCCCGCTCCTCCAACAGCCAGCAGTGGCATCCGAGTTGGAGGAGAGCAAGGAGAAGGCTCATACACGTGGAAGGTGAAGAAGGTCTGGGACACAGGGAGTTAACCCCTGAAACAGGAGCAGCGGGTGCATAGAGTTCAGGTTAATGAAGCACCCCTCTTTTAAAATAAAAAATGCATGCTGGAAAAAAAAAAAAGATCATTCTTTTTTTTAAATTCTGTTGTCATTGTTGTCAGGGCCCAGTCCCACCATAAAGAGTGCATTAGAATGCGTTCCAGTGCATTCAATCTTTGAAATTCCTTACTTCTGACCGCTGCACTCTGTACGTTCCTTACTTCTGACCTCTGCACTCTGTACGTTCCTTACTTCTGACCGCTGCACTCTGTACGTTCCTTACTTCTGACCTCTGCACTCTGTGCGTTCCTTACATCTGACCTCTGCGCGTTCCTTACATCTGACCGCTGCACTCTGTGCGTTCCTTACATCTGACCGCTGCACTCTGTGCGTTCCTTACATCTGACCTCTGTACTCTGTGCGTTCCTTACATCTGACCTCTACACTCTGTGCGTTCCTTACATCTGACCTCTACACTCTGTGCGTTCCTTACTTCTGACCTCTGCACTCTCTACGTTCCTTACTTCTGACCTCTGCACTCTGTGCGTTCCTTACATCTGACCTCTGCACTCTGTGCGTTCCTTACATCTGACATCTGCACTCTGTGAGTTCCTGACATCTCACATCTGCACTCTGTGAGTTCCTTACATCTGACCGCTGCACTCTGTGCATTCCTTACATCTGACCGCTGCACTCTGTGCGTTCCTTACACCTGACCGCTGCACTCTGTGCGTTCCTTACATCTGACCTCTGCACTCTGTGCGTTCCTTACTTCTGACCTCTGCACTCTGTACGTTCCTTACTTCTGACCTCTGCACTCTGTACGTTCCTTACTTCTGACCTCTGCACTTTGTGCGTGCCTTACATCTGACCTCTGCACTCTGTGCGTTTCTTACATCTGACCTCTGCGCGCTCCTTACATCTGACCTCTGCACTTTCTGCGTTCCTTACATCTGCCCTCTGCCCTCTGTGCGTTACTTCCATAGGGTTAGGGTTGTGTATATAGTTATTAGTCAGAAATAAAATTTTAGCTCTAGCAGCTGTAAATTCCTGGCTGCTGGGATTAAATGCTAGTCTTAAAATATGCAATTTATACCGTTCATTTTTAATTATTGTTTGCATTTTCTTTCATTATGGGTATAAGTGGGGGGCTTCACGTTTTGAGTTTCGCCTAAGGCCTCACAAAGTCTAGAGCCGCCTCTGCGCATGCGCAATGACATCATGGCGGGGTGTCACCGCGGTACCCACTCCAGGTGGGTACCGGGTGACAAAGTGCTTCTAAATGGGGATGATATGCTTAGTAAAAGCTAATTTTTTATGATTTGCTTTGTCACACAATACTATGCTAATTAATCTTTGTTACAATACTATGCTAATGAACCTCTGTTACACAGCCAAACTAAATTTTGAGTACACGTCCACCTTACAAAGGCAGCGCAGTACTTCATGGCATTGCATAAAAACCCCTTCTAATTGGTATCATTATGAATGGCCTTCCAATGCAGGAGACATGTTGGCTTTTTTTCTCGGTCAGGTATACCCTGTAAACCTACATCAAATGTCAATTTAGCCTCCAGGTGCGGAGAGCGGCCTTCAGTGAATAACTACAGTCTTCTCTCAAGAATTGTCGGTGGGACAACAGCAAAGGAACATGATTACCCCTGGATAGTAAGTTCATGCTCTGTGCTCCGTACAAGTATTCTTATAGTGACACTAAACTCAGGAGTTAAATCTTAAAAATACATTCAAGTACCCTAAATATTAACAAAAATGTATCTTATTTGTGTATCACTCGGCTGTAGACATTTCCCCAACACAAATATTCCCCACTCCCAAGCAAGAATTCCCCCAGCACCAACATCCCTTCCAGCAAAACATTGAGTGAGTGGACATATGTCTCTACTGAACATATGTAACTATTATGGATGCACCGATACCAAGTACCGTACTCATGTACAGATACTTTTCCAGCTCCAAGACTCGACTAGAGAAAAATTCAAAAGTTAGGAGGCAGCTGTGTGTAAGGAGCACACGGAGCTCCTGGGATTTGTACATCTCTGTATTATTGTATGATTTTGTTTTTATAAACATCTATAAAGAGATGCTTTGATTTTTGCAAGTACAAGTACTGATACTTGCCCAAGTCCTCACAGATACAAGTACGAGTACTGATACATTTTTGTTTATTGTCATGTGACAGTTTTTCTAAAACAATACAGACTAATGATTTCAGGACAGTGGTGGAGCGCCAGAGCCAGGTCCCAGCTGCAACCGCTGCAACCCCGGTAGTTCTCATAAAAATGCCAAGTATCGGCACTGGTATCTGAACTGGTATCTAAACATCCCTAGTAACTATAAAAAAAGTACTAATTTCTATGAATTAGAACTATTTTCATTATGTATTAATTCTATTTCTTAAAATTTTGCTCAGGTATCTATAACAAGAAAATCGAAACATGTTTGTGGAGGAGCCCTTGTTAGCGAGAGGCATGTTATAACAGCTGCTCACTGCGTTACTGACAAGTAAGACTATATATTCTATGTGTAAGTATGCACATACATAATTAAGATTGTTGTTTGTGTACTTAGTACTGCCTGGCCACTTCTAAGTTGCGTTGAAGGTAGTGCCTCGTCTATGAACCCCTATCTTGCACATGTTTGGATGTCCTGAGTCCCCACAAATTTCCGGTGAGCCTGGGCCATTTAAAAATGTTCTCAGCTTGATCTCCCTATCTCTGCCCTAGATTGCTCAATCACTTCTACATAGCAGTGAAGGTGGTGCCCCTTTCCTGAACCCACTTCCTATATTTAACAGGCTCACCTGAATTTCATGGGAGCCCAGGACAACTAAAAACATTCTCAGGATGGAAGCAGTAAGAGTTCCCTTAAATACCTGATTGCTGCCTGAGCAGTGGGAGATCGCTTGATCACTTCTAGGTGGCAGTGAAAGTAATGCCCCCTCCAGCCATCCCCCATGTTTCTCAGGCTCGCCTGAATTTCATGGAAGTCCAGAACTTGGACAGCAGTGAGAGATCGCAAGGACACAGTAGTAATGTAGTGGCCGTTGGTTGAGTGGCGGAAGCAGGCATGCCACACACCCGGAAGTGTCAGTGCTTGAAGGTTCTTTAACAGGTGTAGCTCTGCAAGAGAACGAAGCCTGGAGTCACTAACAGTGGGACTGGTGAGTATTGAAGCCTGTGTCAACAGGCTTTGGGCTTGTGTCAATGAGATCAGTTTCACATCAGTTTGAGATGCTTCTAAAATGATTAAGAATACATTGACAGAGACATTTGATCTGCATTTGACCTGTTTCTGATCTGACTTTGACCTACTTTAACAGGGTTTTGCATTCCCATAGCATTGCATAAGAATGCAAAACCCACGTGAAGCAAACAAAAGGCCATCAACACAGGTCCTTAATCTTCTTTTCATTTCAATAAGTGTTATTCATTTTTAAGCTTAGACATTTTTTTAAAGATAATTCTCTTTTCACATTAGATGTTCTCCAGTGTGCCTGGATTCTATCTAGTAAAAACTGGAGTGAGACATGATGCTGTTTATAACCACTTGTTATATTGTTAATATGTTCCTAAAATCTTCTCTTGAACTCAGCAAGGACATTCTATGTAACGTGGGAGGTATTGCACAAGATATACACTGCCTGTCCAAAAAAAAAAGTCACCACCTGGATTTAGCTAAGCAAATGTGAAAGAGTCTCCCACTGGATAATAGGTCTAGGTTTAGCAACATTAGGTCCCCAAAAAGTGAGGTCAGCTGCCTACTTGAATGTACTGAATGACCAGATTTTTCCATCAATGGATTTTTCCTTCTCTGATGGCACATTGGGCATATTCCAAGATGGCAATGTCAGGACTTATCGGGCTCAAATTATGACAGAGTGGTTCAGGGGGCATGAGACATCATTTTCACACATGGATTGGCCACCACAGAGTCCAGACCTCAACCCCATTGAGAATCTTTGGGATGTGCTGGAGAAGACTTTACACAGTGGTCCAACTCTCCCATCATCACTACAAGATCTTGGTGAAGAATAAGTGCAACTCTGGATGGAAATAAATATTGTGACATTGCATAAGCTTATCGAAATAATGCCACAGTGAATGTGTGTCGTAATCAAAGCTAAAAGCGGTCCAGCAAAATATTAGGGTGTGTGACATTTTTTGGCCAGGCTGTATTTTTATGAGGGATGCACCGATACCGGTATTTTGGTACAGAGTACGGGTACCGATAATTTTCTTTTCGGTACTCGCCGATACCAATTACAGAGTACCGGAAGACCCATTCAGGAAGCCAGGTGGCGTGTAATGACTCGTAACCTGGCTTTGTGATTAGCCGGAAAGCCGTGCAGCGTGTAAGGACTTGCCACCCGTCTTCCTCATTAACAAGAAAGCCATCCCATACGAATCCCTTCTTAGCATGGTGATGTGCTCTCTTGGTCAGTGGAGTTCCATTATGAAGTCCCCTAACGCCCATCTCTTGGTCAGAGTTCCATGTGTGAAGTCCTCAACTCGCTTTTAGCTACTTACGTTTGTTAGAACAATTGGCAGCCCACATGCGGGCGGTGCCCCTCAAGACTTGCACGAGACCCTATGCAAGATGTATCTCACTTTTTTAACCTCTAGATGGTAGTATTGTATCAGGCAAAAGTCAGTAGCTGTCAAAGAGCCTAGGTCTTGATCCGACTAGTCTTGCTTGTTTACACAAAGTTTCCCCATAACTATATTCCTATGATTTAGTCACATTTATTAGTATGGCATAGGGATCGTGCCTTGCCGTTACCTGCCCTGTGGACAGCTCTGTCAATTGTTTTTTTTAATTAAAAGCGAGTGAACCACTGCGTAATACTTTTCCAGCTCAGGCTGTACAATTGATGGCAATGTACTATCAAGATGATTTACCTTGTACTCACTTTAATCACAACGTTTTATTTAACATGTTACCCTTGGACAGCTCTGTCCTGTCCACTAGTTTCCATATCTTGTCTGGAATTGGCTAGGTGATTTCTTTATCTTCACAGGAACATTACAGGTCTCTTTAAGGTATGCATTGGAGACCATGATTTCAATGTCAAAGAAGATTCTGAGATGGTTTTCTCCATACTTGAAGTGATTATACACCCCAACTTTCTCCAAAGCCAGCCAATCAACTATGACATCGCCATTTTAGTGCTGAATGAGAACATAAAATTTGGTAAGAGATGTTCCTCAAATAAGATGTTCTTATCAAAATGTACGATAGAAAAGAGATGAAATAAAGTAGCACTGGCTTTTTTTCTACTACAAGCTTCTAGGTACATAACATTAGACATGTGCACCAGCAAAAAATTTGTTTTGATTCGGATTTTGCTTTATTTTGTTTTTCGGAAATCGGGTCCGAAAGTCAATTCGTTTCGGAACTCGGATTTGGACGAAATTCGTTAGCGGTAATCCGTACAAAATTTCGTTTCGTTCGTTCGTTGCAGCAAAGTGACATTTAAGAGGAAAACATTTTTTTTTGTTTTCAAATGTCACTTTGCTGCAACGAAAGTTAGTCCAAATAACGAAACTTCGTTTAAAAAAACGAAAGTTTGTTTAAAAAAACGAAAGTTTGTTTAAAAAAACGAAAGTTCGTTTAAAAAAACGAACGTTCGTTTAAAAAAACCGAAAGTTCGTTTAAAAAAACGAACGTTCGTTTAAAAAAACCGAAAGTTCGTTTAAAAAAACGAAAGTTCGTTTAAAAAACGAATCGGAAATTCGGATTCGTTTGCATTCGTTATATCTGCAATTCGGAATTCGGATGCATCAGGCAGCCCGCACGGCATCAGAGGGATGCCCTGTCCGGGCCCCCCTGTGCCCGGGCCCCATATCGGCCACCTGGGTCGCTATGGTGATTGTTACGCCACTGCTCACTGGGCTGTAGATCCTCAAATCATCTCTGACTTGGTGCTGACACTGTCCTTCTTTCTGGAGGGGGGCTACTTTTGTTCCCCATGGTCCCTGTGTGTGTTGCAAAGTAGTCGCTCCTGTGATGGACTACAATCTCAATACAAATTAGTAAACTAAGCATGAGATTGTAGTCCATCATGGGAGAGATATTGGAGTGGTGACTACTTTACAACACACACGGACCATGGGAAACAAAAGTAGATAGACTAGAATGTCAATACAAACTGGTAGACCGGGAGTGAGCTTGAAGCGGTGACTACTTTACAACACACACAAAGGACCATGGAAAACAAAAGTAGCCCCCCTCCAGAAGGAAGGACAATGTCAGCACCAATTCAGAGATGATTTGAGGAACTACAGCTGAATGATTCACATATAAGATACATTTTTATTAATAGTTAAGGTACTTGAATGCGATTTTTTAGATTTAGCTCCTGAGTTAAGTGTAACTTTAATGAATGGGGTTCACTTGCTTTATAGTCCCAAAGCAAGAGAAGCAGATGGAACATTTGTAAAGCATGCCCTAGTGTTTTATAACTGTGTCTTAAGATTTTTTTTTTTTTATGCAAGGTAAGGTAAGATCATCCCCAATAGTGATTAGATCTACAGAACGTCAGCAGCAAATGAAAAATTATTTAACACATTCTCAGCTATACAAAAAAGAAGCCCCGTGGGTTTGATTTGCTAAAAATATTTTTAAAAAGGCACAAAACTAGATTGGTTGTGTACTGTATATCTCATTACTTTAAATATCTCCATATTTCCTTATTCTACTTTCTTCTATTTTTTCATGCTTTGCTTGATATTTATGGCAAAATAACAGACCTTGGAAATGTTGTAAATTGAATATTTCTGTATTTGCAGATGGTAAAATCCAACCAGCTTGCTTGCCAAGCCCAGATGAAATTTTTCCACCAGGTTATCTGTGTGTTGCACTTGGATGGGGACGCACGTTGGAACGTGAGAGACTTCTGATATAATAGGTTGACCAAGGATGAGTTTTATTTATGGGCTTGCCCAGGCAACTTTTCCCTTCCTAATCTGACTTCCTTCTGTAAAATCACCATTAAGGTTGATCACTAGCATTGAGAAAAACTAGGGATGGGGAAAACTACCAAAGTTTTGGCAAAATATTGGGACATTCAATTAAGAAGGTGAAAGAAAACAGAAAATTGTATCATACATACCTGTAATTTTCCTTTCCTGGTGCCTATCCATGGCAGCATACCCTTGCCAAGGATTCGTGCATCACCTCCATCAGAAGTGAGGCTATCTGGGTTCCCTCACTCTCATAGTCCCTAGAGATATCTCCAAGGCAGCTAGCACAGGACAGTTTTATGGTTAACCGGACACTGCCACATGCCCAACAAGAATTTCTCTTAGGTCTTTATGAGGGCTCAGGAGAAGAGGATGAATGATGGTGTTTTGCTGAACTCTTTCTTGAAGGAGAGCGATGTTTCTCTCTGTAGCGGTGTGATTCAGAAGAATGACTGGTCTGCACTAGCTGCCTTGGAGTTATCCCTCGGGACCATGGGAGTGAGGGCGCCCAGGTAGCCTCCCCTCTGAAGGAGGTGGTGCACGAATCCTTGGCAAGGATATGCTGCCATGGATAGGGCCGAGGAAAGTGGTTTTCAGGATGCAATGGGTTTTATATGGCTAATGTGTGTTATGTAAGCTTCTTTCCAACTGTCATAGTCCTTTCCTTATGCCAAAATATGGCTCCTCATTAGCTCAAAACATAACATTAGATATTGAGGAATGAAAGATCCTAACCTTAACCTTACATACAAATGGAAAAAAAATCTTTTGTTTTCAAATTTTCATTATTATTATTATCATCATCCTCATCATCATCATATATTTTAACTTGTTGCTGTCTTCTTCAAGAAAAGTATTATTTTTCTAGATGCACATCAAATGCACTAACACAGAAATGCAATGGCAGTACCACTTTGTTGATAAAACATGTCCTGTGGTCACCATGGCAGCACTGATATGGTGATCATATGGCTTTGTTGATGAACCATGTGATCTTTTTGTAAGCTGATTTCATCTAAGAAGCCTGCATGGTAAGTGTGAAGAAATCTCGCAATCAAAATTGATAGCAAAATCACTCTACTCATCCTGAACACTTGCACCACATATTGAGCAGACAAAAAACATCTCTTGTCTGGTTAATTGGCTCTTATCCTCGTGTAATAACAGTCAACCTAATTGCTAGTGTTGCAGGTGGTTGATTGTGCCAAAGCCTACATGCTTCCAGACTACTAGTCTTGAATAAAATGTGTAATAGGGGAAGGCTGAGGGTGCTTGCTATGGCCTAAAAGCAGAAAAAGGGCAGCCATAGATGTTTAGACTGCTCAGCAATAAGGGGTAAAACCCCTAATTTTTTTTGTCTGTGATGGAAATGAGACAAGCAAATATGTTCTGTAAAGAGGTTCTACGGTGTTTCCAAAATGCTGTAAAATCTCTGTATATCTTCCAGTGCTCTGAAATCCCATTTATACCTCTGATCTGAACCTTCTGATTGTCAGAAGTGTTCCAATTTAGCAAAATATTTGCAAACCCAAGCCACAACTGTACAGTTTTCCTTTACATTCCAGGCCTGTAGAGGGAGATATTTTATGTTTCTTTATTTTCTGATCTTCCAGATGGTCCAGTAGCTAAGATTTTACAACAGGTGACACTGCCCATTGTAGAACAAGAGGCATGTATGCGTACGATGCAAACTTTGGGTCCACGTGCAACATTTCAAACTGCAGTATGTGCCGGATTTCCAGAGGGAGGAAAAGATGCATGCCAGGTTTTAATTTTGAATGCCATTTTGTTAATCATTGACATGTCCACACATCTTACACTGGCAAGTCCCAGAAGCAGCCATAACATTATCAGCGCTATCACAATGGTTGGAGGTCTTCTATTGGTATGGTAGACCTTTGCAAACTGTTGGTTTTGGCTACCTGGGAACATGCAAGAAAACTGTCCCAGGGATTTTGCTGAATAAGAGGCAACTTGGTTTGCAACTGTGTCAAAAATGTGCTTGATAAATGTCCTCCTGTGGCTGTCATTGTTCTGTAAGGGGTCAAGGAAAAGCAGGTTGAACATGGGTATTTATCAGAGAGTCACTCTGCAATCCATCTAATCATAATCTGCAATCAGTTGAATTATAAATCCATATATTTCCAGCATTATGTGATCTGGTAAAGGGCCCTTTATATTGACCAAATAAGAGTATCCTTGTTACAGTGATAGGATGCACCCGTAATGCTGTGCACTATGTTATTTGAATAACATGCCTATTGACCCATGCAATGAGTGCCTTCTCTGCTATCAGGAAGTCAACTAATAAGCAGTCAAATGAGGAGGAGGTGGAACTGTCAATCTCAGATCCTGCTATGACTATGAAATAAATCCACAAAGTTGACAATGTGACTGTCCACTAGTTTTCTACAATGAATCATTCTGCTGATGATCCTTTGTTGCAAGGAATCATTCTGCTGATAATACCTTGCTTGATATTGTTGCACAAGTTCTTGATACTGCCACATTTACAACCATCCCTACATTGGGAAAGCACAGTTAACAGTAAAAACATTCTTAATCTAATTAATAAATACATCTAATTATTATTTAACAATTAAGATGAAAATGGATGTGTAATTATTTTTTTGTTTTAATTTGAGCAGCTTAGCATGCCCAATGACAACATCCACAGCACCCTAACATAGTTTAAAAGTGCATTGTTTTACTGCCATTGCAGCTTGCTTTAAAATAATTCTGGAAGACCTCAGAACGCTTTGGTAAGGTTTAGATTGTGCAGGTAATACTTTAATTAAACATCAGTAATAGCCCATTTTATTCTTGCCCAATGTCCCAACAGCAAATCTAATGGAAGGGTTCTTTAATTACAATTTTATTTCATAGTGCTAGTGGAGAGGTCTGACCTAGGAGACTGGTAAAAAAAAAGGGGGTCAACATTCATGGCAAAACCTCCATACAGTGCTGAGTGCATGCTATTGAGTTTAAAGCCCAATTGAACTTTCAATTTAAATTAGCTAAACAGATCCATAGTGCCTCAAAACAAAAAGTGTTCAATGCCTTACAGTTTGTTTTCTTTCTAAACAGCCACAGCCTGAGCCTGCTGCAGAGAAGCAGTGGAAGCAGTGATCTCTCTGTAGAGTGATATCTAGAGTTCTCCAATCAGCGGGGAGCATGAGCTTTGCCAACAGCACAGCTATCATGTCAAACCTCTGCAATGAGACCACTGCTTCCCCAGAAAGCCACCAGCTGCTGGCAGGGACAGGTGTTTCTACTTAGGCCGTGGCTTTCGTTGTGCGATGGTTGTAAGGTGATTACAATTTCGTACGACCTGCCCATCTTGGACAGGCAGATCGTACTTGCGATCATCGCAAGCCTTCCACGCTCACTGGAGGGCTTGCGGATGATTGCAATGCTGGGCGGGCAGTGTGCACTTGCGCACACGGCCCATGCGGCTTTCGTCTTGAGATCGCGCTACCAACCCGCCGAAAATCGTACGATTTTCGGCGGGTTTTCTAGCATGCTCGTAAGATGAAAGTCGCACGCTGCCCATACACCTGCCGATTATAGTACGATCGCGGGATCACCCGCGATTATCGTACGGTAATCGTCAGGTGTATGAGCACCTTTAGAAAGAACATAAACTATTAGAGGAGAACTATGGGGTTAGGGCTTTTCCCCATAGTTCTCCTAAGGGTAACGGGAGGCCACAAACTAGCGTCCTCCCGTCACCCAAAGCTCAGTATACCACGAGCTACAGCTCGCGGTATGCTGAGACGCCGCAGCCGGAACGGATCCCTACAATTATGTCTGGATCCACCCAGCTGCATGAGTGACAGCTGGCTCTGCCTATCTAGAGGCAGAGCCAGCTGTACCCGCCCCCTCCCCCGTCAGTTCCGCCAGTCAGCGCAGGAGGATCGGACAGGGGATGGGGGAATCCAGTCCCTCCCCTGTCACGGCTCTCTGCCGGCACAGGATCGAGAAGTGAGCTAGCGCCGGTATGTGTTCGCTCACTTCCCGATCTACTGAGCCGACCTGTGACAGTTTCATTGTCACAGGTCGGCTCAGATTATGAGGCTGAGTGAAAATCACTCACCTCATAATTCTCCTTTAAGGCATTGAACATCTTTTTTAGGCACCTGGAATGTATTAAACTGACTTAATCTTAGCTTCAAGTTGGCTTTGAAGACCAGCATGGCTCTGTACAGCTCATAGATGTTTTTATCTGTGTGTGCAGGTAGCCAAAGTACAAAACCAAGCATTTTCCAGCAAACTCACCAGCCAGCCTGCAAAGAAAAGTACACTGTCCAACTACTAAGGTTAAAAACAGAGGTTTTAAATGCCTAACTTTTGCAAAACATGTGGAAAACGCACTGCCTCGTTAAGGCTCCTCCTGTATGGTGCGGTCCTAACTCTAATCTATGAGAGCCTCCATCTTGGAGCATATAGCAAAGGATGAATTGGGTGCAGGTTGGCAAGAAGGTAGCCCAACCCCCTTAAAGGCACAGGGACACAGCAGAAGCTCCGCACATTACAATGGTAGCTGAAGCCCCCAGTGTGTCCCGGCACCAAATTCAACTGGAACCTACACCCAATTCATCCTTTGCAATAAATATGCTCCAAGATAGAGGCTCTTATAAATTAAAATTAGGACCACACTATGCAGAGGTGCCTTGATGACGCTGTGCGTCTTCCACATATTTTGCAACAGTTGTGCAACTAAAACCTGTGTTTTTATGCTTACCGTAGTAGTTGGACAGTGTACTTTTTTTGCAGGCTAGCTGGTGAGCGTGCTGGGAAATGTTTGTTTTTGTATGTGTAAAGCCTTTCCACGTGCATCTTGCTTTGAAGCTGGCTGTGAATTGGTGAGTGCGTTTGCCATTCATTTCACAGGCAGCCACATCAATGTTTTCACATGGTGGTGTTGTTTTTAACAACTTCTTCTGCCCATTGGCTGCAAGACAGGGTGCAAAAAAATGGGACTGGTGTAAAGTGATATGGAGGATCCCACCAAGCATCACCAACATTTGGCAAATCTTATGTTTGTAAGTCTTCATCTTAGATGTATCATTCAGATTTGGGTCTAATTTCAAATGTGGCCAAGATAAATTAGAGTAATTCAAATATTAAGGACAAAACTGAGCAAGTATTGCCAAAGGGTTACAGTGTTTTTATGTCATTTCTTTTTAAGGGTGACTCTGGGGGTCCGTTCCTCTGCCCCCGAATTCACGGGAGGTGGGTTCTGGTTGGTGTCACTTCGTGGGGCATGGGATGTGCACGCAGTTGGTCCAACAATTTGTTGCAGCTCCCAGAGAAGAGAGGGTCACCAGGGATCTTCACAGATGTTAAAAAAATGCTTGAATGGCTAAATCTAAACCTCAGCCAAGGTAACTGCCATCCTTTTTTTGTATGCCTTTACCTGAGAACTTGTATTACATTGCATATGAATATTTAAAGCTAAACTTCAGGCACAGAAACTTTAATTTAAATATATTTTTCGTTAGCCACAAAGGATATAAATCCACTTTATGTGCACCAAATGCCTTTGCAAGCCCAGACATTGTAAAAGAAAGAGTGACATTATCATTGGGCTGCATACAACCTGTGCAGAGAGCAGAGCTGTGGCAGGGGCCCAGCAGGCTCCTGATTCATGCCATCAGAACATATTTTATTATATTATTATGGCTTCATTGATGTTTGTATTATTTCATAGCTGGTTAGTTTAAAAAAAAAAAATCATATGTCTAGATCCTTTATTGGTATTTCCCATTAGACATGTGCAGCGGCTAAAAATTTGTTTCGTTTCGGATTTTGTTTATTTCGTTTTTGGAATTCGGATCCTATATGTGTTTCGTTTCGGGAATCGGATTCGTATTCGGATCTGATTCGGATTCGGAATTCGGACGAATTCCCGAAAATTCAACTTGAGGTGGGGTAGCAGAATTGGCACATTTGTCATTTCTGGTTGCTGTCTTTACTATTAAAGGGACATTAAAATAATTTTCTTAATTTGTTTTTATCTGTTTTAATGTTAACAGTGCACGCACAGGATTTGGACGAAATTAGTTCCAAATCCGAAATTTTGGATTCGGATACTTTTGGATGATTTCGGATATGTTATATTTCGGAAATTCGGATGCTCCGAATCTACGAATTTCCGAAATTTCATCTGAATTTCAATTTGGAACTAAACGATTCGTACATGTCTATTTCCCATTGTATGTGTCCCAAGGACCTTAGATATATGGAAATATGCCTTTCAGTGCTTTTTACTTTCATTTCATGACCAATTGAAGCATCCTTTAATGACTTTTCTCTTTTCTGCCTATTACTAGATAGATTTAACGTGAGCAATGCTCTCGGTAAGTATACACTGCAATTGAATTGCTTAATATTGACCCCAGCAATGTGATCAGCTGAGTCTTCTGTCCTGTCACCCACAGCACGCTGCAGTGGGAAAAATCAGCTCCTGAGGGGAACTTCAGGAACTTTAAAATTACCCCAGCCGCCCAGTAACTATTATTTAAATAATGAGTAAGTATGTTTTTCCTCATTAAAGAGTTATTATTAGAACATTACATTCTTGCTTAAATAATTAGATTAAACAATTGTAGGGATGTCCAGATACCAATAATCGTACTTTGTACAAGTACTGATAATGTTCCAGCTCCAAGACTAGACCAAGTACAAACCAGACCAGGTACAAGTACTGATACTTATCCAAGTACTCACAGATACCAATTACTGATACATTTTTGTTAATTTTCATTTGACAGCTTTCTTAAGACACTACAAACTAATGATTTTAGGTACAGTAGTGGAGCGCCAGGGCCCAGTCACAGCTGCAACCGCTGCAACCCTGGTGGTTTGTGTGAAAATGCCAAGTATCGGCACTGGTATCTGAACTGGTATCTGAACATCCCTAAACAATTGCATTGAAATACTATCTTTACATCCCAGTAAGTAAAAGTCAAGAAAGAAAGTGACAACAGCCATAGCAGCCCATGTGGCTGCTTTGGCCCCTTGGTTAGGAGGGGTCCCATTAGGGTGGCTGTTAGGAAAACTAAACTGTTATGTTTTCAGTATAGAAGGACTGACATCAGATCTGTCACTAGTCTCAGATCCACATCTGTACAGGAAGAAGCATTTAGCTGTCTGAGCAGTGTAGATTTATTGCCCCCTGAACTTCTGCCACAGACTTGTATGAACCCTGTATGCCTAATGTAGCCAAAAATCCCTCTTCATCTAAAAAAACTTTATCGGACAGCATTTTTATGTTTATTATTTCTGCTATTACAACTATAACTTTTATTCCCAGCACTGGGCTTTTGTAGTGTACTGATCAGGCGTGTCCCTACAACGTTTGCTATGCAGTGCATGGAAGGGGGGAGTGCACGGTACCTCTGACTGGCATCGCACCCAGCTCACTGATGTCAATGGTTGCCAGGAGCTCGGCGGGATGCCATCCAGAGTGCCCCGCTCAGCTCCTGCTAACCAGTGAGGTCAGTGAGCTGGGCAGGATCCCGGCCAGAGCGTCACAGGTTGCTAACAGCTCTTAGCAATTTGGGATGCTCTGGATGGAAAGGTGTGTCTGCTGCCCCACCCCCCCAATGTGACCCAATAAGATGCCACCTCAGGATACCTCATTATAGAGATGGCCCTGGTACTGACTTTGCTGACAGGTCTCCTGGTGCCTGTTTTTGATTTAGTCATACTTTATGCTACAATCAATGACACAGATTGTCACAGCTGACACAAGCTACTACAGAGGGAGTTAGCCAGGAGACCCATCAATGTTTTTCTATGGAGCCCCAATATGTTTAATTATGTCCTAAAGGGAAAGGGACAGAAAAAATAAAGTATGTCAACCTGTATCACTAATATAGGCTTCTTCCCTTGAAACTCTGTCCTATTTGGGAAGTTTTGGCTATTGCAGAATTATCATAGCACATTATGCTACAGGGGCAAGTGTAAGAATTGCCATTTCTACCAACAAAAAGTTGAAAATATCAATGTTTCTATGTACCCAGTTATGTATAAAAATAAAGACAGTACAATGAGGCATAGATTTCCCTACACACAGTTGACTTCCATACACGGGCAAATGCTACTTCTTATCAATACAGAGAAGACATTTGATTCATTTTATTATATTCCAGCCTTTTACGTACATGCAGCAGTTTAAGCCCTGATAAGGTGGACATCCCCCAGAATGTGTTGGCTGCTTGGCATCATGTCATCCTGTTTATGAATGAAAAAACTTTTACTTTGGAGTCTAATGACTGGTGGTGTGTCCCCTTTATTACTTTCTTCACTGTAGGACTTTACCCTGGGTTGATTCCTAAGGGTAAGCTTCCTTTCCTTTTTCCCCCACTCCCCAGAGCTGAAGTAGCCCAGCCTACTCCCGCTAAGCTCTATAGTTATTGAGTCTACTCGTTTATGGAATCCTACTGTGCACATGTGGTGAAGAAGCGGGAGGAAGGATGTAAACATTGCGGCGGACCTAGGCAGTGAGAATTCAGTAGGCATAGAGAGGAGGATGGGCTGCTTCAGCTTATGGGAGTAGAGGCAAAAGAGTAGGGAAACTTTGTTTTCACATTTCCCTACCTTATAATGCGAATGTCTTCTGACCCATATAGTGATCGCAATCTACTTTTTATCCCAGGAAGTGTAAATGGACGATATCCGTTCCTGAAGGAAAGCACATTTTGCTCACATTCGATCACTTTGACCTGGAATTTGATTACTCTTGTGACATGGATTATCTAGCTGTGTATTTGGAAAATGGATCTGTCATTGGTGAGTCTTATGCTGTACGTATCCAACAAGTGACCGCAATTTTAAAATGCTAAAAGTTAGATATTTCCCAAGGGCATATATAGCTTTGTGCTACTGTAGCATTATTTGTACTGACCTTCAATAGTTACACATGAATATTTATCTTTCCATTTACTTACAGAAAAGTCACAAAAGCCTTCACCTTTAATATAGAAAAAGGTTAATTGCATCAGCAATATAGGAAGGAGGTTTAGGTGTGGTCAGGATATCCCACTGTATCTCATGCTCTAGACTAGGCCTCAATCTCTCTAGATCTTTGATTAAAGTCTCTCTTTAAGCTTCTGATGGTTACCTACCTTTAAATCACAGAATGTGCTGACTGGACCCCTTGAAAGATTAGACACCCTGATGACTCAAGTTCAAGTGGAGTCTCACTTTTAGATTCCAAATTAGGACAGCATTGAAAATGTTTCTGTATATAACTTTCCATTCAACCAGTCTCTCAACACATCTTCATATGTGAGAGGCAGTCACAGTTTGCTTCCAATAGTCTATATGTTTTTTTTTTTCCAGCAGCAAACACCTGCAGGGTTTCCTCCCAAGAGGGGATATCCCTGCATCTTTCCATGTGCCTAGGCCCAAGGCTTAGGAGAGATTGGCCTCTAAGCTGATATCCTCACATGGCAAAAGCCCCAGAGGGAAGTTACAGGACAGGAAGTGGCTCAGATATTTATTTAGTCCCCCAGCATGTCTCAGCAAGTGGCCCAGGCCCAGTGGATGGCCAGACTAACAGATATCCATAACACAAGATCATATGTCTCTAGCACATCCAGCTGGAGCAAGCTCAAATAACATGTGGCAGAAAAAAATACACCCTGCGCGCCTGTTGAGGTACAATGAGGCTGACTACAGTCCAATGCTGACTACAGAATTCACGAAAAAATACAAAAAGGAATTTCGTAAAATACAAAATCCCTGCAGTACATTTCCACTTTTTAATAGAAAACACGTCAAGTACTCTGTAAGAACACACCTCTTATATGTCATATTCGTCAATCACAGTTATTTTAGAATCTTCTGATGCACTATGCACTGTTCCATTCATACTTCTAGTCCATCCATATCCTAATCTTCTTCATCATCTTGTAAGGGTCAGTTACTCATTCAGACTTAATAATTACTTCTGCAGTGAAATTCACCTTTAAGAAGCTGCTTTGCTGGAAGGCTTTATGAGCTCTCTTTGTACTCCATTGCTCCCCAGGTTCTTATTCATTAAATTACCTAGTCTGAACAGAGTCCCTGCTTTAAACGGGGTTGAACAAGAGAAGATAAATCAATACTAGAGGGTCAAATGAAAGAAGGTTGAGGTTAGACTTGCCTTTTACCCAGGTCTCTTTGGTAAGAGCTAGAGGATCATACCAGGATACAGTACCATGTAGTAAACAGTAGAGGTAGCAAAACCAAAGGTTTGTATTAGCTAGTCCAAGAGCCGGTGCCAGAGTCCAAGTGCCAGAGCAGGAACAGAGAGCAGAAATCAGAATTAAGATTTTGGAGCCAGGTTGGGAAAGCCTAGTGTAACGAGTCCCTGCTCGCTCGGTTCCACTCTCCCGGCACTCCTCAGATTTCAGACCGCAGCGTCTGATTTTTCAGTCGTCCGATAATTCGGGATTCGAACTACAGCTATGTGCCGTTCGTATCCAGTGGTGATAGCTCAGAACAAACACCAGGCAGGCTGTATGTAAGTTCAAACAGGAATCTCCTTTATTGGATGCACACACACACTTTTATAAACAACACCCACACACACACACAATGGGTTGGACTTGATGGACATATGTCTTTATTCAACCTCAAATACTATGTAACTATGTAACAGTTTGAAGGTGGCCCAACCGACCACCTTCCTATTGGTCAATTGTAAAGTCCCCTCTTGTCCTCACTTAGGTCCTCTGGCCATGCAAATGAGGACTTGAAACAGGGTCAGCAGGGATTGGTCCGATAGCTTGAATGGGAGGGCTGATATGTGTACCATTGTCATTAACATTGGGTTTCCTGAGCCGGTATTGAATTGTGAAATTGGACGGCTGTAGGGCCAGGCACCCCTGCAACAGCCGTCCATGGGCCCCGGACACCCAGTTCAACCCACAAGGGGGGTCTCTATAGTCCTAGGTCCATAGTCTCTAGGAAGGAGGCTAGCCCTCAGGCTCCTCCAGCAGCCCCAGTGACACAGAAGTCACCGCAACAGAAAAGCACACTGTAGAGCTAACTGTACGCTCCAAAATGGACACCCTGCAGCAGGCTTGCTATATCTTTAAAGAGTGACCAGCCAATCACAGGGCAGCCTTTACATGCATTCACAAGTGCTGGCATGCACAACTAGTTCTAAAGTGCATGAGCATTGGGGAACTAGATGGACGGTGGCACATCTTTTGGGCGTACACACACAGCAAAACCAACCAGATGGCAAGAAAGATCCAATGGTGCAGGTTTCTTACACATCTGTTATATTTATTGTCTATATTGTTTGCTATCTTCTTCCCCTAAACTTGATTTATCACTGTGTAGATTTGCAATTCAGGACAAGGTTTAATTTACAACATGGAGGGTAAAGAGCACATAGCTACTATGTAGAAAAGGACTCATTATACTTTCCCTTTAAAACGTAAACACAGTTTTTCTCCATTGTCCCAATCTTCTCACCAACATTGTCATCATACTTCACGTAACAGATATGCTTTCTTCACAGGGAAATTCTGTGGAAGTGATCGTCCTTGGCCTTTGCTTATCACAAAAAATGAAGTCAGCCTGAAATTCATCTCTGATTTCCAAGTATTCAGAAGCGGATTTGCACTCTCCTATGAGGCGGTAGAGCCAGAAGACTATTCAGGTGATTCTGCTTCAAACTTTGCCGTGGATGCAATACAAAGCTGCATTTCTGATTCCAGCCTATAGATTTTTTATTTTTTTTGAAACAATGTGCCAAAAATCCCCAGTTTATGATGTGTATGTATATTTGTAATACAATTGACTCTTTAAGAAAATGTGAGATGAACTGCACACCAAGGAAGCATTTTTTTTAAGGCCCTCTACGTGGTCTCTTAGAAAGCAACACAAGTCACTAAACTGAGTACCTTGATAGATCTATTTCCTCTTGGTAATAAGAGATAAGCTGAGATAAACTGGTGATCAGTGAGTTCCTTCTACTGATAACATTTGGAATACAGTCAGAAAAATGACTGCGTGCTTGGACTGCCTGCCTACATACATGCAATAAGAATGTGAGGCTATATCACTGTAAGCTGTGTTCTGCAGAATGTCCAATCTTTATATTGTTTTGGGCAGGCTTCACATAGACCTATGGGTAATGTAAGACAGCCTTTTAAGGGAAACAGTGTGATCCATAGCTGAATAGACAGCTTCTAGGTTAAAGAGATCATAAATCTCTAATGTGGACTATCACAAAGCTGTCAATATGCTGGCTGGCATTAATATTGATGTAAAAGCCTACATGACTGCTACAGGTCCAGGGCCATCTTTAATATTAATTGGACCCTAGGCAAACACTTTCTTTTTCCCCTCCCCCCGCCCCTAAAAGCGACGCCATGCCCCCATCACGCCCCCACCTCCCGCAACTTTCTTCTCCTGCAGAGCAGATAGGAGAAGACATCAGAGGGAGACGTGACCCTGCGTGAGATGTTAAGTAATAAGTACTATCCTTGTCGCACTCCTCACCGATATGTCCCTTGTAGTGGGGGGTGCTCGCAGTGACTGCGGATGGCGCCGCGAATGTCAGCAAAATTATAGAAATGTCACCAGCACACCAGTCCTTTTAGGATAGCAAAAGCTTAATTTATTGAAGTTTTTTGTCATATGACCAACAAGCGCTTTTGGGACCGCACAGGGTGCCTTCATCAGGCTTTAGCATTGCGTGAGATGTGACCCCCGTGAGACATCATGTGGCCACGCCACTCAGCGTACAGCAGAGCAACACTATGCAATGCTGATCGCATAGTGAAAAGAACGGTGCTGCGTGTGTATCTTTTGCAGGCTCAAGGGGCAGCTGCTTTGGGCCCCTCAGCAATGACAAGGCCTGGGCAACTGCCCCTTTTGCCCTGCATTAAAGACAGCCCTGTAAAGGTCCAGAGGCAAGGGGGGAAGCAGCTGGGCCCTCTGCCTGAGACAAGTTATTTAGATATCATACTATCTCCCACTAACTTGCTCATGGGATTACTGATGAGTTGGAGTGGTGTTGTGGATTGTTGGTGGCACATTGGACATCGCTCAAGGACAAGCTGTGTAGGGAAGTACCTTTCCTATTCTGCACTTAGCCCAGCTCTAAATGAAGGAACGCTTTTCCTTGCATGGACCAGAGGTGATATCCAGGCTCGGATTCCCCACAAGGCCACCGAGGCCAGGCCTCGGGGCGGCAGGGGGCAAAGGGGTGGCAGCGGTGTGGAATCCACCGACGCCCAGAACATAAAGTTCTAGGTGCCGGGCGGTAAGTTGCCTTCTACATTTAGTCCTGCTTTGGGAAGGCAGGACTAAATGTACCTATCCCGCACCTACCTCTCTCCTCTGGTTCCGTCCTCCCCCCGGCTGCCGAGTTTCTCCTCACTGGCCGCCAATGCAGGGAGCAAAGCGGCAGGGTTAAAAATTAACCCTGCCGCTCCTTGTTCACAGTGAGAGGGGAGAGCAGTCTTCCCATCTCAGCTGTCACAAGAGTTCCAGCACAGTGCTGTGCTAGAACTCCTGTATTGGAGGTGACAGGGTCATGAATCACACATTCCACCGCCGAAAAACTGGGTGGGATTACGTTAAAACGTGTGACCACGTCACCGGTCACACATTCTAACGTAGTCACAACCTTTGATAGAGCACTGCCATCAGGGGGTATGGCCGGTACCCATGTGAGGGGTCTGGGGGGCCTCTTACATGGGTATCAACTGTGCCGGCATCCCGACGACCAGACCAGACCACCATAGAGAGTCTCAGGTGGGCTATGCAGGATCTATGGTGTGCTCTGCAAGGTCTCAGGTAAGTCCAGCACGCTACTGCAACATTAGAGACCACTGGGGGGGGGGCGGGGGCCAGTGTGATCCGCTCCCGCGCCCCCCCCTCCCGTCTTGGGAGAGGGGCCCAAGATAAAATCTTGCACCAGGGCCCTTTGGTTATTAGGTCCCCCACTGCATCCGGTTGCCATTCTCCATTGATGGGGGGCGGCGGGGAGGGGGGTGCATTGCGGAACCAGGCCTTGGGGCGGCAGGGAGAGTAAATCCGGCCCTGGTGATATCTCAGGTCACATGACAACCACCACAAATTCTTGTGAAAGTGTCCCTGCATAATTGCTGGCAATATATATCCCTGGACATCTCTGCATAGAAAGGTATGTTTTATTTCCCTTAGGATTGGGGGCCCCACACAGATCTTACAATTATGGTTATGCTAGGTACATTCCTGTGACTTAGAATCATTTTATTAGCTTTACTACATATAAGAGGGGATCACATGAGGTAGAGCAAAGCAGATCCTTGGTTCCAAGAATGCAGATGACAACATCAAATGGATCCGTGGTGTGTATTTGATATATCAGTATAGTTCCATTTATACCATTGGCAGTAAATAGCATGGCTATTTTATTTTATGATATTTCTGTACAGTTTTGGCCACATACGTGATAAAAACTGGCAGCTCTGTTGACATCATCTTTTATTTTTATATAAAACCCTTCATAATTTTTTGAAGACCATCTCCACTGTAGGTGCACAGGAAAGTACAATACAGGTAGAGGTCGGAACCAGTGCTGTAACTGCCCAACACTGGTGTGCATTTCTTATTCTTTATAACTGAAGTGTCATCATTGGTGAGGTTTCTTATACTACATTACACCAATATATATTTATCCTTCCAGATTCTCAGTGTGGATCTGTGGCTGTTATTACTGGAGAAGGAGAGATACAGACAATTAATCACCCGGGGAAATATAGCAGCAATGCAGACTGCAAATGGATTATTACTTGTCCAGTATCTTTCAGGATAAAGGTATTTATATTTATTACTGCCACTTAGAAGTTAAAGCCCAAACTCCATTCAAAACTATAACGTTGATATTTAAAGTGCATCTAATTTTAAAGTTTTTTTTTTAGTTTTGTATGAAGTAGTGAAGAGCTAGAACCATCGTCTGATTTTTTATTGCTGTCTCTGTCTCCATTAGTGAGATTCACCCTTACATTGTGTCCTGGTGACCGCTGTCTCTGGGATTGAAAATGAAGGAAACTCAAAGAAATGATGTTGTCACCAGAACAGGAATAAACTTCCACTGGGGTTTTTTTCTGGTGACAATTGTCTAAGGGTCTGTGTCAAAGGACTTGGATGAGAAAATGCAGAATGGTTTTGACATTTTAGGTGCTTCTGAGATCATTTAGGGATCATTGCAGGGGCAGTTGACCTGCATTTGAGCATTTCAGCTGTTTTTGAATTACTATATACTTGTAGTTCTGAAGAAAAGCCAATCCACTTTGGCCCTATGAGGGGATTTCTCTTGATTTGGAGAGACTTACTTTCAATTCCTGCTATGTCAAAAGCAAAAGAAGTTAGAAATGGCAAACAAAACCTGACAGAGGGGTTAAACATTTCCTACTCTATCCAAAATAAGAAAAAAAGGCTTTAGATACAAGTTAAATCTTGAGGAGCAGGAGCTGCAGTGATGTGCAGAATTAACACAGAGACTGATAGGTCTGCTTAGAAACCCACATTGCCTAAGGAGCTCAACCAAACAATTCTACTTCTGAAATATATTTCTAAAGCCCTGATAGGAGGTGTCTCAGACTTCAGAAATGTTACATGAATGGCAAGTTACATGACTTTCTTACAAAATTAGACAGCTTCATCTCCAAATAATTTTCATGGTGCTGCTCTAGCACCTCGGTACACAGATTTAACATAAGAAAGATCTACACTTTGGAGCATCTTCTTTCTTGAAAGCAAATTCGTTTTTTATGAACACTTTCCTTGATAGAGAAAGCCAGCTCATTTCTAAACCTGAATAAACTCTAAGGAAACCTGACCCAGGGCTATCACAACTTTTGCAATCAGCAGATGGAGACACTCTACCAATGGTGTTGTATCAAGAATAGCATCCCAGGCATTCCTTTCCTGGCCTTTAAATAAGGTCTGGAAGCATGCACCTGTACAGGGATGCTTTCTATCCTTCTGCTGTATATAACACTACAACCTCCTTGTTCTCTCCCTAAGCATGTTTCCATTAGGACAGGTTTTCGTATAGTTCAATGAAGGAATGTGTAAGCCCTCACGGGCAGGGCCCTCACCATATTGTCATGAATTGTATTGTGATTGTAATATCTTCCTTATATTGTAAAGCGCTGTGCAAACTATTGGCGCTATATAAATCCTGTACAATAATAATAATAATAATAATACTCCATAGATATTATGATTGTAGAAATAGTGTAATTGAGTCATTTAGGATAGGAAACAATTTACTATTTAATAAAGTAGGACTGAATTCAAAAAGTGAACATTTGTCACGGTATAGGGAACATTTAGAAATGTTAATTGTGCCAAAGAAGTACCCTGAAAACAAACCCTTTGTCTGGAATTCCTCCTGAAAAATAGCAGTGCACTTACTGGTATGTGAGCGGCCTGGACACTCCTGTGCCTACAACTTCATAGCTCTATATCTGCAGTGTGAGATCTAAGGCACTTCTGCCTCTGACTGCTAGTTTTAGGAGATTTAAGGTGAAATCTGGTGACATTACCTTCTTGTTGAATGCTCCAACATGAGGAAGCAAAGCTTTGTCTTCCAAGATGACCACCCCTATACAAAGATACAATGTAGAACAAGACATGATAAGTCAGTAATAGAAAAAAGATCAGCTGCAGGAAGACCACAGGCAATGCGGGTGACTAGTTCTTTGCCCTCTGCCTGCCTTTTGTGAGCACAACTTTCAGAGTTCAGTTCCTCTTTAACATTTATTTAAAAGTTGTATTTTTTTTTTATTGTCACAGAGGTGAATTTCGAAAGCTGGCCATACACCTATAGATTATCTGCAGATTTTCTATGGTCAGATGGAAAAACTGCAACAGGTTCCTCCATCTACGCTAAACTGTGTGTATCGAGGATTCCCCCGTTGGGCCAAGCTTCAGTATCTTACTGCCTGTGAAAATACCTGAACAATCTGATTGGATGCAGGCATTTTGAGAGCCAGCGGGCCAACTAGCAAGATACTGAAGCTTGGCCCAGCGGGAGATTCCTCCATCCACACAGTTTAGCGTAGATGGAGGAATCTGTTGCACTTTTAACATCGATCTGACCATAGAAAGTCTGCAGATAATCTATAGGTGTATACAGGGCCGTCTTTAACGCAGGGCAAAAGGGGGCAGTCGCCCAGGGCCCAATCATTGTTGTGGGGCCCAAAGCAGCTGCCCCTTCAGCCCACATAAGATAAACACATGTCTGTGTACACAGCATTGGTGCTCTACAGACAGGAGGCTACATACAGCAGCATAGACGTGGCTCTGGGCTCCGCCCACTATCAACTTGGCCCCACCTCCCGCTCTCCGTACTCTGCTCTCATCTGTTGTCTGGGGCCCTGCTGGGAGCCCACACAGTGCCCTGAGATGTCACCCCCACTGTGTCCCCTCCTGCCTCCCCTCTCTGGACCTTCACACCAAGTAAGTGCCCAAATATGCCACAGTTTATGTATGCAACAGATACATATACTGTGTGCAACACATACATATGCAGAGCAGGTTCCTGACATTGCTTCTCTAGTTCAATCTATGCTGCTGAAGCAGGATTTAGAGTTTTTAAAGAAAATGTCATTATCAAGTTCTATGTATGGCTGCAGCAAAGCTTCCTGTACTCTCAATACTAGGGATGCACCTATAGATAATATTACAAACAGGATCTGTGCTATGGAACAACAAACCCCTAAGCTGCCATGCTAAAAAACTGTATATAACACCTAAAAAACGTGAATTATAAACATGCCCTGCGCAATAGAGATCAACTACATGTGCAATCTAATGATAATCTACATGTGAAGTAAATACAGAAATATATAAATACGCAGAATCACCCTATGGTGAATAAATACATATTAGGTATTTTTTCACTATATATTGTATTTATTCACCATAGGGTGATTCTGCATACTTATATATTTATTTCACATGTAGATTATTATTAGATTGCATGTGTAGTTGGTCTATAAAATGCATTGCACGTTTATAATTCACTAGGGATGCTACTGCACCGATACCGATACCTGCACAGCCCGTCTGAGACCCCGTACACAGCCCTCCTGAGATCCCGTATAGTCCTCCTGAGACTCCGCACAGCTTCCCACCAGGATATTGAATATCCTGTCTCTCTCCTGGCTGTCTCTCATTGCTCTTTCTCCTGGCTGTCTCTCTCTCTATCCCCTGGCTGTCGCTCCTGCCTCTCTCTCCTCTCGGTCTCTCCTCGCTCTCTCTCCTAACTGTCTCTCTTTGCTCTCTCCCCTAGCTCTCTCTCTTTGCTCTCTCCCCTGGCTGTCTCTTCTAACTCTCTCTCCTGGCTGTCTCTTCTCACTCAATTTTGGCTGTCTCTCCCTGCTCTCTCCCCTGGCTGTCTCTCCTCCCTCTCCTCCCCGGATGTCTCTTCTCTCTCAATCCTTGCTGTCTCTTTTCTCTCTCTCCCCTGGCTGTCTCTCCTCACTCTCTCTCCTGGCTGTCTCTTCTCGCTCTCTCTCTGTCTCTCCTCTCTCTCTATTCTGGCTGTCTCTCTCCTGGCTGTTTCGCCTCATTCTCTTCTCTCTCCCCTTGCTGTCTCTCCCCGCTCTCTCCCCCCGCTCTCTCCCCCCGCTCTCTCCCCTGGCTGTCTCTCCTCGTTCTTTCTTGTTTATTCTAAAAAAAGTTGCAGTGTGGTGTTAGACTGTTCGGGATTCGCTTGAAGAAAAGGCAGCAACCCTTGCAGCACCATTCTGTTTACTATGCGTTCGGCATCACATAGTGTTGCCCCCACCTCTTCCGTATGCTGCTGTTAGGGCCGGGGGAGGGGGGCCCAAGAAATTGTTTGCACCGGGTCCAATCAGTATTAAAGACGGCCCTGGGTGTATAGAAGGGAAAAAAGAAGGGAGGGATATTACACTCTTTACCCACTCGACTTCCATCAAGTAAAGCAATAATAACCTAGAGCATTCAGTAAGCAAATGTTGAAACGTGAACTGTGGTAGATATGACTTGTTACACATGATGGATCTTGCCCACCTATGACCTAATACAGGTTCTATTTTTGCACTTCTTGTACCGCTCAGCTTTCACTCTCTGTTATCTAGGTCACTTTTACCGTCTTTGAAGTTGAACCAAGCAACGGCTGTCTTTTTGATTATGTGCTCATTTATCATGACCTGGAGGGAATTGTTGCGGCAGGTGAGCTTATTGTCATACTGCAATCACTGATGCCCCCCTGTTCCCATATCTGTAACTCTGGAAGAAAATGTTGAATCATTCTCTGGTGTACTCAGCATGTCATCACATACCAGGTATTCCATATAATATGCGTAGGCAACAATGGATCTTCCCATGAAGGAAATCTGTGCTGGTTTTGTAGATGTTTTTTTCTTTATCTATTATGGTCAGGACTGAAAAATATTCTTCCAAAGTTTTTCTTTTAAACATTTTAGTCCTCTTAATTACATCTGTACAACCCTTATGCCCCCGAGCAATATTTGCATTTCAGACATAGCCCTGCTGATTCAGCACTAACTTTGTTATCAGTTATAATACATACTGTGTATAATTTTTATTCTGGACAGGGAAGACTTTTTTGGGGCTATTGTCTTGCAAAAAGTATTTTGTTTTATGTGCAATCTACAGACAAAAATAAATAAGAGATATGAAAAGAAAAAGTGTTTATTTTAGTTTGACCAGATATAGGTTTTAAACAACTTGTATTACTGTAGATAGAAAGTTAAAAATGTCTGCAAAAACTTTGTCACTGTCTGTGACAGGTTGTATGTTATATAAGATAATGCCCTTTTCGTTAGCATGATCATGCGAGGAATTCAAACAGACACATGTCTCAGCTTCAAAACCCTTCCCGGAATACTGACTGCTCATGCACCACCTAGACCTTATCTACAAAATTAAATTCAGAAATGGCCAGCTGAGATTAAAAAAAGTTCTTTCTGTTAGAAGAAGAGACATTCTTTCACAACACTATAAGTACATTTTGTTACACAAGATTGACACTATAAGTATTGTGGTGAGTCAGCAGGGCTGAGAGCAAAGAAGGGGTTAACTTGGGAGGGCAGGTACTTCCCCTACAGACCTTCCTGTTAAAAGGTAACCCAGGTGAGAGAGGAGTGGGGAAGCTGAGAGACAGACAGAAAGGTCTGTGTGGCTGCTCAGGAGCAAGTGGACTCTATCTTGGTGAGATCACCTAAACGCACTACAATCTTATTGAAGGACTTTATGTTTGATGTTTGCTGAGGAAAGCCTTTTACTTTACCGTTTTGCTGAAGAAAGCTGTTTGTTCTGTTACCGCTGGATGAAATAAAAAACGTTTATTTATATCGGACTGTGTTGAAGACGCATGTGTACCCCTGGGGTTCCCCACAGTATGAATTGGAACAAATCTATTGTAAAGGAAAAATCTGGCCGCACTCTATTCCTTCAAGAGACACTACTTCATGCACTGCACTGACACCATGCCAGGTAGGTGGCAGTGCCTCTGCAAAGGGCATCCCCTGAATGCTTAATACTTATCCGTCCTGCACTCCCTCACAGCTCCTTGCTCCTCTGCAGCTGGCGCTGAAATTGGCTGTGTCAGGGACCACGTAGAGCAGTGATATCTCTCCTCTGGTCATGTGGCAATGTTCAGGCCGATAGATTGGCTGCTACGCCAAGGCACCCTCACAAGGGAGCAGGTTACATGCTCCTCAAACCTGGAAGTGCCTGGCATTATCACTGGCTGCAGAGGATCAATGGGCTGCCAGGGAGTGCATGTTAAGTAAGTATATGGAGGTCAGGGGATGCCCATTTCCCTACATGGGGACAGTGTCTCTTTAAGGGAGAGTGAGTTATTGGGGCTGATTATGGTTTTAGATATATAGATATATAGATCTATATACCTCTAGATATATAGATCTATATATCTATATGTATCTATAGATATATAGATCTATATATCTATAGATATCTCTACAAATAAAAGAACTAGTGTACTGTATATACTTTGTAACAATAATAATTATTGAAATGTATTTATATCAAGGATGCCTGCAAACACTACAGCTCCCAAGACACAGAATGATAACTGGCAGAATGAAAACCAGGTCTTGCAAATCATGTGGACAGATGCGGAGCAGAGGATCAGGGCTACCTAGATATTAAGATTACATTTTTTTAGGGTGTAAGCTACAAAACCCAAGGTCCCTAACTCATTAATGTTTTTTCATTCTCTCGTTGAGCTATCAGGTGGGTTCTTAAACCCATCATTTCAAAAGCAGATACCGGTAGCATTGTCACAAATGTCATGGAGGCCAGAATAAGAGATAGTATTATGACGAAATTCTTTTTACAATGTTTGTTTTCATTTTGTAGGGAAGTTTTGTGGCTTTTCCATTCCCAAACCAGTCGAGAGCACCTCAAACATCATGCAGATCATATTTTCCTCTGACTCTCGTGTTAATCATATAGGGTTTCGAGCAACTATTTCTTTCCACACTGATCAATGTAAGAAACCTTATACGGTAAAATATTTAGACTGTTTCCTGTAATTTGATGCTGTGAAGAAGGATGTTAGTGGACCGGTCTAAGAACAAGCGGGCTGGAAGGATCGGCTGGGTATATCTTGTTATATGTTATTTTTTAACTTAGGTAAATACAAGACTTTAACCCTTTGAGTGTGGATGTAGCCCCACTGCAAGGGTTAAGAACATTTTTACCCAGAGTTCTGGTATAATATATGAGCTGCAGATCTGCCCTAAGTCTGACAAGGTGCAGATCTGTACATTGGGCTGACTCTTTCTGATAAGTGTCTTTACCGACTTTTAACAAAGTGAGACTGAGCCTGACGAAGATACCTCCTCCCTCTGTCTAGATGAGCAGTGTAGAGGAAGATGGAGGCAGCTAGCTAGTTCCCTGTGATGAGTTTCCAGACAGACTCTCACCAGAGGGAGCCTTCAGCTCTGTGCTGCTCGGCTGCTTGCACTCTGTCAACCAGCAATCACTTCCTGATCGTGGGGGAGAAAGGAGAAGAAGCAATACAGTGAGCTGCTATAGCTCAATGTATCGCTCCTTGCACAGTGATAGCACACGGAGTGTGCGGTGTCACTATGTAATATGCACCTAATAAACAGAACTCCTTGAGGGACCTTAGTTCATTAGGGTCACTGGGCACCACAAACATACATGCTTGCACCATGTATAGCTTATAAACCTCAATGGTTGTCACTGCTGATACCTCTTTGAAAATAGAAGTTGCCTGGCTTTCATGCCTGAACATGAGGATCTGGAAAGTCAGATAACGTCATAAGTCCTTTTTTGTATTCTTGTACCAGACAGTCAGAAATCTAGGGGTCTATTCACAAAGCTGAATAGGGCAGCCGAGTGAATGACCGATCAGAAGTGAAGTGAGCCAAACACTGTTCGGCTATTCACTTCAGGCTGGTACGGCTGATTTCAGCCGTATATCGGCTGAAATCAGCCGTACATCGGCTTGCTTCGTGTGGCTTCTTAGAAGGAGAGTTCAGCAAAGGCAATATCTGTATTTCTGGTGACAGGTTTTCTTAACCTGTATATGTCTGAATGCTAAAAGCGATTACCTGTGACTAAAATTGTAATATCTAAATTTTTTTATAACATCACAGCCATCGAGAGAAACCCAGCAGATTTTGAAGGATCCAATCTGACACAAAGCCTTGGCAATCGAGTTGCAGATGTTGGTAAATAGCTTTGTAGATTGTGAGAGTATTTTCAAGTATTAATTTCAAGATTACCGATAATTAATATTTTATTGTATAGTTTACCGCTGTTACTTGCTGACCGCATCATTTGTTTATAGTGACCCGTAGATTTGTAATGAGAGAATGTAATGCGACTGCCAATGCTAGGTGCTAGAAAAAATGCTAACTGCGTGGCTGTCATGCTAATGAAACCTTAAATTATCAGAGACACCCACGCAGCAATTCTGTAAAAAGAGTAGGGAGGAATTAGAAGGACTACCAGAGTTTTATTGCTATCTCCAGCCCAGTTGGGGAGATTCTACCCACTTCTTGTCTCCAAAAAAATGGTCACCTGAACAGGAAATGAAAATAAATCTCCCTGTTGGGCACCTAAACAGTAAATACCTGACATCCAGAACCAAAAAAAATCTTAAGTGTTATAGCTTTACTTTTTTAAAGCTGAACTCCAGCCTCACTTTCAGTCTTGCACAGTTGCACCGGCTCCTCTTCTGAAATTAAATTGCTTACTCTGATTTCACTGCACACTTTGAGCATCTCACAATGTGCTTTAGAAGCCCCAGCAAGTCAGAAAGAGCCCCTTGTCATTTCCTGGCTGGTTGATGTTCAGCATCATCTAGCACTTTCCTCCCCAGCCTGACTGTCTCTGGCCTGCGCCTTTCATTCATTGGATTTCAGTGCTTTAAATCATAAAGGCTCAATATCACGTGGGGGTGTAACCTAGGGTGGTCTCTGTAATGGATGCGGCCAGTCCGAACCCACTGTACTTCACCAACATGTGACTATATGCAGCTCCAAACCTACTGAGCCTTCACAAGGATCTGGCAATACCACTCCCAGGCCCACCCTGCACAGAGAATTCCCAGCTCATGGGACAGCAATCTAAGGCCAGCAGACTGAAAGCGATCATCACTGGGGTTTGGTTAACTCCACCTTTAACTCTTTACACACATAAATAATCACTGCCCCCCGCGTGTTTTAAGGGAAACAAGCACCATTCCCAGCAAGTGCTGTGACAATTCACAAATTTAAACAATGCCTATGATACCGCTGTCCATTCAGACAGGAATATGACAGGTTTCGTTATATAGTAACACTCTTCACAAAGACAAGTATACTTTAAGTTCTTATTTAGAACGTAGAGATAAGCGTAACGATTTTTTAACCTTTAAAAAAATGTATTAATTTTCCAACAAAAAAACAACAATACAGACATTTGCACAGCAGTGTTGCAGGTTACTGTGATAGCACAGGGCCTAGTCTCCACCAAAAAGGTGGCCCAGCTTCCTTAGCAGCAAGCAGAACCTTAACGATTTTTTAGATAATTTTTTTATTAAGAGAAACGGTGCAGGACAAGATGCTAACACAGAGAGAGATAAGTAAAATAGTAAAATAAAAGGAATAAAAAAGAGAACTTAACAAATCCTGGGTTTAGTAAGTTCTGGCAGAATCCAGTTCAATGCACAGCAGATGGATTTGAAGGGCTCTTTCTCCAAGTAAAGCTTGCAAAGATTCTTTCTTGATGTTAAAGTTGAACTCTTCTTGGATGTTACAAGAGTGCCTCCTTTTGATGTTACGAGCTTTGGTGTTCCTAGAGCTTCTCGACTGCCCTGTGCTTTTTGTCAGTCTTCAAGGGGGTGTCCCTGAGCCAGCCCCCTAGGCCAATCTGGAAGAAACAGGGATGACTAGAAGGGCTGAGCATTTTATGACCTTCTCCTCTGCCCCTTCGAAACTGTTTATTCCATTGCTATCAACACAGATTAATATTCTCACATATTACTATCTGACAACCCCTAAATTATTGTGTGTCATGATATTAGCTTCTGATAAATTTGACATGCTTATGTGGCTCAGAAGGGGTTATATGGGTTTTTAGCCTTCTGGATTTCCTAGATCCTCCGAGTTTAGTACGTTTGGACGCAGGAATAAACAAAACAACTATATATATAATACATTTATTAGCAAGATAGGAACCCCATGTCTGGAGTTATGGATGTTGAGCTATATGGTACTTATACGTTTCACCTGGAAGCCAATCATGTCGTTATCAGTGCCAGGCCCTCTTGTGCTTAACTAGATCTGTCAAGTGTTGATTGATTAGTGATCTGCAAGTGTGCTTGGTTGACTTTTCATTAGAGTTTTATGAGACCCCTGATAAACAGCTAGGCCAAATATAAACAACTCTAAACTCTTAGTGGGTTATTAGAAAAGTTAGAAAGATCAAGGGGCAGATTAGCAGATATCTGTTTGCTTTGGAATGTTGAGGTGGCCTAAACAAATTTTAACCCATCAGTGTTTGGGCAGCCGGTTGTGATTCAAACTAGATGTGACGCGTAATAGCACAATAGGACAGAATGTTAAATGTAATATTCCGGTGGTACAACTTCATTACCATAACAGTCTCCATGCAAATGCAGCCTGCCTAGAAATGCCCAGTCCTCCTCCTGGATTTCAGTCTTTTCAATCATGGAGGCTCAGCATCACATGTGTAAGTTAGCTAGGGAAATCTGCATAGAAAGTAGACATGTGCACTGCCAAAAAATTCGTTTAGTTTCGTTTTAAATTCGGATTTGTGTTATTTCGTTTTTCAGGATTCGTGTGTGAAAGTCAATTCGGATTCGGAATTCGGATTCGGAAGAAATTCGGTAGCGTTAGTACGAACGTTCGTTTCGTTTTCTGTTCGTATTCATTTCTTATTCGTTTCGTTCGTTCGTTTGCAGCAAAGTGACATTTGAGGGGGAAAAAATATTTTTCTCCTTCTCTAATGTCACTTTGCTCCAATGAACGAAACGAATAAGAAACGAATAAGAACAGAAAACGAAACAAACGTTCGTACTAACGCTACCGAATTTCGGAAATGGAATTCGGATTCGTTTGCATTCGTTATGTCTGTAATTCGGAATTCGGATAAATCCGAATGTCCGAATTTCCGAAAGTTCATCCGAATTTCGATTCGGAACGAAACGAATCGCACATGTCTAATAGAAATGCAGCCTGCCTAGGTACTCTCACTTTTCCAGACTGTTATCCACATTTAACGGGCCAGTGAGCCAGCCCACTGCTAACATCAGGGCTGAGGACTCTTGGGAGGAGTACTGAGACAGGGAGCAATATACAGCACCCTGTCTGTTCCTCCTGCCATAATCTGCCTGCATTGCATAAAGAAACACAGAGACTCAGTGATGGCATCATTAGGTCTAAAATAAGGTATGTCATGAAAACTGAAAGATTTTATTTCAAAATGTCATTAGTTGATGAGGGGAGGAAGGAGAAACCAGGGACAGCAAAATATAAACAGATTAAACTTCAGCTTTAAAAACAAGTCCAAAAGTCAATTTTGAACAGTAGGGATTTCCCTTCCCCACACTTGCTTATTTGGTCTCTCATTTTGTTTTAGAAACGGGTTGTGTAGCTGCTCCGATCCTACCTATGTTCATTAACCAGAGCATAACTGTGGCAGAGGAAGCCATTCCAAACTCTTGGCCCTGGCATGTCAGCTTAAGCATTGGCGGAAAGCACTTCTGCAGCGCGGTAATTGTAACAAACAAGTTTGTCCTAACAGCGGCCAGTTGCATTGAACGGAGGTAAGCAATAATATATAACCAGGGCTTGTAATGTGTGTGGCCAGCGTAGATTATATCAGTTTACCCAATAAGTGAAATATATCCATTGTTTTACAATTGAGTGTTTGAACTATAACTCAGTATTGTATTGCAGAAGACAGTTCCTTCTGTTTCTGGTGGTCGCTGGACTACATGATCTGGACAGGGCCGAAGATGCTCAGGTTTGACTGTTTCCTCATTATGTGCAAGCCAATAGGATTACCACTTGCTCCGCTGAGGGGGAGGGCTACTCCATGCTGCATCGGAATGAGGTCTATGATCTTCACCAGTCACAGTGTTGTGCCTCTGACCCCCTCCCTGTGTTGTACTATTCACAGGATAGAGATGACAATGAGGCTGTGCTTTGTAAACGAGACAACATAGCGAGGGTACTAGAGGTACAACATGGGAAACGGGGTCGTTCATAGACTCTGTTTTGATACAGTGGGGAGCCAGGGGTACGGCTTCTCACTAGCGATGCACCGATACCGATTTCCTCTGACTGGCAGTGCCGTAGGGGAACATGGAGCCCGCTTTCCGTGCCATCAGGAAGCTGGGTGGCGAGTAATGACCCGCCTCCTGGCTTTCTGATTGGCCAGGAAGCTGGCTTCATGCTGATTAGCTGGGATGCCAGCATGCTGGCTAATCAGCATCGTACCAGCCAAATAGCTGGCTCCTTGCTGATTGGCTACGAAGCCGGCTGCCTGGCCAATCAGCATCGAGCAGGCCGAACAGCCTGCTCCTTGCTGATTGGCTGGGCAGCCAGCTTCCTGGCCAATCAGCATCAAGCCGGCTTTCTGGCCAATCAAGCAGGCTTCCTGATTGGCCGCAAAGCCGGCTCGATGCTGATTGGCTGGGAAGCTGGTTTCCCGTCCAATCACAATCAAGCCGGCCAAACAAAATGGAGGCGGGCGACAAGTCATCACCCGCCGCCTGGCTGTCTGGCCAATCAAGCAGGCTTCCTGATTGGCCGGGAAGCCGGCTCGATGCTGATTGGCTGGGAAGCTGGTTTCCTGGCCAATCACAATCAAGCCGGCCAAACAAAATGGAGTCGGGCGACAAGTCATCACCCGCCGGCCAGCTTTCTGGCCAATCAAGCAGGCTTCCTGATTGGCCGGGAAGCCGGCTCGATGCTGATTGGCTGGGAAGCTGGTTTCCCGGCCAATCACAATCAAGCCGGCCAAACAAAATGGAGCCAGGCGACAAGTCATCACCCGCCGCTCGTCTTCCTGATTGCCTAGGAAGCCGGCTCCATGCCAGCAGAAGCACCGCTATCGGTACTCGGTATCGGCGAGTACCGAAAGCAAAATATCGGTACTCGATACCGAAAAAACGGTATTGGTGCATCCCTACTTCCCACTGTACATATCAGAATCACTGAGCCGAGCTTCTATAATGTTACAAAGTAAGAGTGTTTATGTGTGAACTACAGATGGAAAGAACCCTATAAAAACAGGTGTGCCGTGATTTAAGCTTGCCACACACTGTTAGAATTTGTGTTCGTTGGCATTCTGCATGGGCAGAACATTGTGTTACTTTGACGTTTAGATGAATAAAAGAAGGGAAAAAAGCCATAAAACACATTCTGCAGAGTAGACTAACAGAGTTATTCACCAAAAGTGTGAAGAGTTTGGAGAAGGCAGGAGAAGTGAACAATCTACGACAACATCGCTGAACTGGAAAGTGAGCTGAATTGGAGAATTTTTCCAAATCAGCTATTTTGGCCTAGATTGTTCACTTCTCCTGCCGACTCCAAACTCTTCACCCTTTTGTGAATAACCCTGCGAGTCTTTGGAAAATGTTCCACTCAAAGTTAAATCTCACAAAGCCAAGAACCTGGGAAAAAACAGTCAGTCAGTTACATTCAGAGATTCAAACAGCTGCATCATTGGAAACACAGCCATTCTTTTTATGTTGGAAGAAGGGCACCTTTTAAGAGATGTTCAATTTAAAATTGCAGTAGTGTTCTGTATGCATTCCTGAGTAATTGGCTTATAGCGTCATCCTTTTTTTTTTTAATCAATATTTCTTTATTAAACATTTTCAGTTTACAGAAAGAAGAATGGAGTAATCATTCATAGGAGAGACTGTGTTATAAGAATAATACATAACATAGCTCAAATGCGTACACCTCATAAATAACTTGTATATTGGTATAGTATACAACATTGTTATACTAAGTAAGGTGTGCTCGTTCTAGAGCCTCTATGGATAGCTTCATCCTTTGTTCTGTTCCAGAAATCTTCAGTAAAAATAATCCACATGCCCCCTGGATTTGTTTCATCGACCTCGGAAAACGACATTGCTCTGATACAGCTGAATAAACCGTTGCAGTTTAATGACAACGTACAGCCAGTGTGTTTCCCTCGTTCATACAGAAAGGTGAAGTCTTCCAGCATCTGCATTGTGTCTGGCTGGGATGTCAATGGGGAAGGTATGTATATTGTAATGTCCTATCCTGGTCCATGGGCCTAATACAATGAGGTAATGGAAAGAACAGTATGGGGTCTATTTATAAATGTTTTCACCAAAGATTCACACAACCTAGGATTTACACAGTTTTGCTATTGAATCCATTAAGAAAAATGGCAGAATCTTGGGTGATAGTTGTGTACATTTGGGTGAAAACATTTATAAATAGACCCCATACTGCTCTTTCCACTACCTTAGGACTGTCACCTATAGAAAAGCCCAACGTAACTGTAGTCCAAAATATCCTCCAACACAACTGCTGGATTTATACATTTAATATAAAGTATGTAAAATGCAATAGGGAGTGTTGGAACATGTAAAGGAGGATGGGCACCTAACCAGTGGCATAACCAGAGTAACGGGCGCCCGGGGCAGAACAAAATTTTCCGCCCCCCCGCGGTGATATGTGGGGGTGTACAGGCAAAATGAGAGCATGCTGGGACATATCGTAATTGAACTACAAGTCCTAGCATACCCTCATTGTCCCTCTACACCCCCCAAAATATTACCTAGGGAACTACAAGTTCCAGAATGCCCTCATTGTCCCTGTACGCCCCCAAATATCACCTAGGGAATAGTAACAAGCTGATTGGCAGGTTCCTGTCCTCCTTCAGGGGAGCCCGGGTCCCTGTAGGGAAGGAGCCTGCCAATAAACTGGTTATCATGGCAAATGGGCCATGATATTTTTTACTTTTTAATTTAATTTAATAATTTTTTTCTTATTCTTTTTTTTAACTATTTTTAATTTGTATTTATTTAATATTTTTTTTTTACAAAAAAAAATGTCACTTAACTTTATCGCTATCACACAGGAGATAACAAGCCCATGTGTGATAGCATTTGGAGGTGACAGATTCTCTTTATTGAACCTGTCACCACCAAGACAGGAGTTCTAGCACAGGACTGTGCTGGAACTCCTGTGACAGGTGAGAGGGAAGACTGCTCTCCCCTCTCACTGTTTACACGGAGCGGCAGCGTTACCAGGAATCCCAACCTGAAAAAAGCAATTTCAGGGAGGTGCCCTTCTCATTTCAGGGAGGTGCCCTCTGCCCCCCACCCATCCGCTGGGGGGAAGGGGGCATAAGAGAGAGCACCCCCCTGAAATGATGGCAGATGGCACAGGAAGCAATAGCTTCTTTGCTATCTGCAGGTTTTTTTTTAGTATTCTGACAGCTGGTGCCATCAGAATAAAAAAAAAACAAAAAAAAAAAAAACAAGCGTAGGAATGCATAGCTAGATTCCAAAAGGCTATTTCACTTTGCAATAGCCAATAGCAAACTAGCTATTGAACCTGCCCACAGCTGCTGTCAATCAGCAGAGGGGGACCTGATGGAGAACTTCAGGTCCCCCTCATACATTACCAAGTGACCAGGGAGCCGGTTTCCCGGCCAATCAAGAAGCCGGGGGGCGAGTCATTACCTGCCCCCCAGCCCCCTGATTGGCGGGTTAAGCCAGCTCCATGCTCCTGGTGACAAGGAAGCCGTGTAATGACTCACCGCCCGGCTTCCTGATACCGGAAGTTCCGCTATCAGGATAGGCATCGGGAGCACTTGGGCAAGTACGAGTACTCGCCAAAATACTCGGTATCGTCACTGATACTGATTTTAGTATCAGTATCGGTGCAACCCTAATAGATAGATATCAAAGATCTTTTTTAAATTGTTGCAGATGCAGTACATTTCCAGGAATACCAGTTTAAGGGATGCAATATCAAAGGAAATAGCTTTTTGTACGCTTGCCGCTGAACCAATAAACATTTTTTTAAATAATGTCTTATTAACAATTGCAGGGGAAAGGTCTACAAAGCTCCAGCAGCTGGAAGTCCCATTGGAGACGGATGGTGTTTGTGAAAGTTACTACGGCAAAATTACAGGAAGCATGTTATGTGCTGGGACTGCAAAAGGCCGTGCTAAGTATACCTGCCGTGTAAGTATATTTCATGCCGAAGGTAAAGGAGAGGTTTGGAAGGTCTCATATTTAGAAAAATCTGGTTACATGCTCTTTTGAGGGTTATGTTTAACCAGTTGACATCCGCGGTGTTAAACCCCCTTCCCATCTGTTTTACATAATGCTGATAGGTAGACTGTAGTCAGACCATTCATTTCAATAACAATCTTCCCATAGGATTATATTTGCATCTAACATACAGTATTTTATGCATGTTATGTAACAGTGAAAGCCTGCCTTGTGTAGACACCCAAAAGCCCTGAGACTGCTGCTGGGCACCACCATGCATGTTCTCTCTGTGCATGCGTTGGTTTCCTCTGGGTACTCTGGTTTCCTCCCACCCTCCAAAGACCTGCTGGAAGGTTAATTGGCTCCTGTCTATATTGGCCCTTGTATGTATGCATGTGAGATAGGGACCTAAGATTGTAAGCTCCTTGAGGGCAGGGACTGATGTAAATGTGCACTGTGTAAAGCGCTGTGTAAATTGTTGGCTCTATAGAAATATCATAAATAAATAAATGTCAGCAGCCCCAGAAGACTCAGAGCTGCCACTCAAGGGACACTCTATAGTATTCCCCTTCACTCCTCCCCCAGCAGCTACATAAAAGGTTATGTAGGGAGGTGAGGGGAGCGGCGGAGGAGCTTGAGCAGCACGGAGAGTAATTAGACGCTCCAGGCAGAGGAACAGGCTTTGATGTACAAGGGGGGAAGGGGCTGCGCTAGGGAAATGACTCCTGAATTAGTCAAATGTGTAAAATTGTGCCAGCAAGTTCAGAGTCGCAATGCAAGTCAATAAAAACTGTTTGGAAAATAAAATAGAAAAAAAACTGCAAGTAAGCCTTTAAAATAAAATGTTTTGTGCTTTTACCTGCAAGTTTTGCTGCAAAGCTCATGCAGGACAAATCAAAATGTTCACTTAACTGCTGGCACAAACACTGTCCCCGTGCTGCTTATACTCATCTCACCTTTGCTTAACAGCCCATATACAGTAAACTTTCAGTTATCTGGTGTTTAATTAACCAGAACTCTCATCTAACCAGAAAAAAAATCCCCTGTGAACTCACTGTTTTGCTGATCTGCAGCATGTATTATCCTGGAAATGATCGTGTTTCTATTTGTCTTAATTTGCTTTTGATTACTGCACAAGTCCATCGAGTTCCACCTATAGAGATAAGAGAAGAAAAAAAAAGAAGACGAAAAGCCTAAACAGAATGCTATGCCCACAGTTACCCACTGTTGATCCAGAGGAAGGCAAAAACCCCTATAAAGCATGGTTCAATTTGCTCCAACAGGGGAAAATAATTCCTTCCTGATCCCGTAAGGCAATCTGTTATTTCCTGGATCAACAATCTCTGGTGCCTAATATACCTAACAGAACTCAATATCCAGTAATATTCTGTGCAATACAGAGTTTATGTTCTAGTGTGGTATAGTATGGGCTATGGCATTAGTTAGACCTATTTTTAAGAGTAACTCTCAAGCAACCAGAAACAAAACGTATCTGAAATCTAATAACCCCAGTGGATGCCGGATAATGGGGAGTTTATTGTATATGACATTCAAGACAAATATGTGGCCTCGTGGGTCCTGTTCATGGATATGCAAACCTTTCACTCTTATCTCCGTAAAACCTAGGTGGCCTTGGAGAAGACAGGAGAAGTGAACAATCTAGGACAACATAGCTGATTTGGAAAAATTCTCCAATTCAGCTCACTTCCAAGTTCAGCGATCTTGTCCTAGATTGTTCACTTCTCCTGCCTTCTCCAAACCCTTCACCCTGTTGTGAATAATCCTGCTTTTATTGTACCCCTATTAAACTCAACAAGGGGAATTTATCAATACCGGAGCAGACATAATCTGGAGCAGTTTGCCCATAATAAATCAGCTTCTATTTTGCATTTTCAAAGCTTCACTGAACAAACTGAAGAGAGAAGCTGATTGGCTACTATGGACATCTGCTCCAGATTTGATAAATTCCCCTCAATAAATCTTTATTTATGAAAAAAAAATATTTCCCCATTTGTAGACAATGGAAGCTGCACGCTCTTACTGTATTAGTCCACCCTTGGCAGGCGTGTGGAAATCCCAACTCTGCTTGAACATAATGACAAATGCTTTGGCATGGTGACAGTTCACATACATATACAGTATTTCATTTGCTGGAGGTCTGTTTTAAATATAGTAGAAAACCATCACGTATTTCAGAGCCGATCACATCTCAGAGCCGATCACATCTCAGAGCTGATCACATCTTGTGCTTTGCTTGTCAGGCTTTTACCATTGGTTGTGGTGCCAGGCTGTTCTGCTGTGAGAGAGAGAGAGCGGTCACTGTGCCACAGCAGTCTCTATCCAGAGACACGATGACCTGGCTCACATCCCTGCCTGTCTTTATGCTCTTTATAGTTCTTTTGTGTTTTTGCATTCCCATGGAATTTAGTGCTTCACATAAAGCAGCACAAGTCAGGGCTCTCATAATGGATGGCTCAAGCACTCATTCAGGTGATTAGTTTTTTAAATCTAATATATAAATTGTTGTCATATAATTAAAAACAATTGAGGGAAAGATGTAGCAAGAGAATTAATGCTAACAATGGTAAGTTCTATGGCTCTCCTTGGCTTTAAAACTTTGCATCACAGATCTGAAATAAGCATTCAGCAAGTGAAGACAATAGGTAATGCAAGTTTTAAGTGCATACATAAAGCACATTCTTTTTTTAATATAGCGAGGCATATTAAGCAATTCCTGTGACTGACCGCTAGCTGGAGATACCACAGAGTGCTGTGAACTGTCCCTTTAAAGTAGGCTCAGACAAAGTGTTAGCTCTATGTTTTTATTCTGTGTACAGAACACAGATGTAATGGAAGAGTTTCAACAAACAAATCCACTCCGGGGACTGGTGAACTCACCCTTTAAATTAGAACTTCTGTAAAACAAATAAAATAGGGTCTACTTTGCAAACATAACCTGTTGAGACAGTATACACTTTGGTCAGGAGTATGTAATGTATTGCATAGCTTACAAAGGACAGCAGTCTGGAGCATGTCATCTACTACATACCCTATAGAGAGCAGGGGGCAGAAGTATGTAAAGTACATCATAGTGTATAGGTGTATAGAGTATAGCAGCCAGGAATATGTAAAGGACATCATAGTGTATAGAGTATAGCAGCCAGGAATATGTAAAGTACATCATTGTGTATAGAGTATAGCAGCCAGGAATATGTAAAGTACATCATAGTGTATAGAGTATAGCAGCCAGGAATATGTAAAGTACACCATAGTGTATAGAGTATAGCAGACAGGAATATGTAAAGTACATCATAGTGTATAGGTGTATAGAGTATAGCAGCCAGGAATATGTAAAGTATATCATAGTGTATAGAGTATAGCAGCCAGGAATATGTAAAGTACATCATAGTGTATAGGTGTATAGAGTATAGCAGCCAGGAATATGTAAAGTATATCATAGTGTATAGAGTATAGCAGCCAGGAATATGTAAAGTACATCATAGTGTATAGAGTATAGCAGACAGGAATATGTAAAGTACATCATAGTGTATAGAGTATAGCAGCCAGGAGTATGTAACATGCTCCCCCTTACATTGATCATTACTTTCATGTCAGTGTGAGGAGCAATGGCATATACATTGGTGACAGTGTAAGAAAGAATGGCAGGTAAAATTTAGCAGTTACTCATCTGAGGTAAAGCTCCATACCCCGTGCTTCTGGCTCTTCTGCCTGGTGACATCAGCTCCAGAATTAAATAAGCATCGGTCCAGAGGGGGATTCATCTGCCAGGGACTGGCTGCAAGCCTGAAGGCATGCCTGAGCCAGGGTACCGGCATTAGGTGCTAGGGACCAGCGACGCTGCTGACACTGTATGGAGTGGATCCATAGTGGATCTATGGATCAGAAGTCCACTGGAGGATTCCATTGCTGGCTGTCCATCCCCTGTTCACAAGGCTATGTGAAGACACTGATGTCTACAAGTCAGTCTAGCTTGGCCTAAACCAGGCCATACACATACATCAAATGTTCGTTGGAAATCGTTCATCAGAGCATTCAATCTTGCCATCATTGGGTCAACTAATTTCCTTCGAAAGCCGTTAAAATGTCAGCCAGGCCCGCTAATTGATTGGCACCCCAGATGTATTAAATACGTCTCTCTTGTGCCTAGCACATGTACATTACATTATGTTTTGTGCAATCAGAAAAGAGACTTGAAACATTGTCCAGCCTGCTCCTCAGATTTTCCTTGTCACTACAGTCGAAAACAACCCCTGCTAACCATCAGAAAATTGAACAAACGAACACAAACACTTTCAAATGAATTCCTACTGGTGTATGGGCAGCTTTAGGTGAGATTTTATGTGTTAGGTCAGTAGCTCTGCCATTGCTTAGCACCTATACTTCACTGTTAGCTCTCTGCATTTATCTGCTAATCATTCTCACCATTTGTCTGGCACAGGGTCAGCCTGGCAGCCCATTGGTTTGCCCTTCCAGTGATCCCACAGCCTTCTTTATTTACGGCATTGCCAGCAAGGGAGTTGGCTGCCAAGAAAATGCCAAACCCGGAGTGTACACCAGAATTTCCGTATTCACTGAATGGATACAGAGCGTCATACAGGCAGGTCAGTGTACCATCTTCTGAGAGCGAAAAAGTATACTTGTAAATTGTAGAGACCAGAAGCTAAAATATAGACATGTAAGCTGCGGAAAAATTTGGTGCGGTTGTGATATTTAGTTATTTCGGGATTCGGATCTGAAATTCAATTCGGTTCGGGTTTTGGATTTGGACGAAATCCGAATTTTCGATAGTTTCGGATGAGTTTATGAATATTCGTTGCGAATACCACAGAAAACCATATACATATATTAATACTAAAGCTGAATCTCCTAGACCCGAATGGCATTGGGGATCTGAATTTCCAAATTGCAATCGGGAGCTCCTGAATGCCATCCGAGTCTGGGAGCCATATACATATATTACTAAAGCTGATGCTCCCAGACCCGAATGGCATTCGGGACCGGGAGCTCCCGATTGCAATTTGGAAATTCGGATCCCAAATGTTGTTCAGGTCTAGAAGCTTCAGCTTTAGTATTATATGTATATACTATTAATGCTCCCATGTTGCCATAACGAAAATTCGTATTCAGACCCATTCAGATGTATTAAACCGAAAAACACATCTGATTGGCCAGAAAAGTCACATGTCCGATTCAGTTTAGTTTTTGAACGAAATTCGGACGGGAATCTGAGATTCGGACGCATTCGGATGCATTGGGATTTGGAAAATCGGGATGTGTATGAATGTCCCAATTCCGGTAAATTCGGACGAATTTTGATTCGGAAAGGAAATTAATTGCACATGTCTACTAAAACAACTTTTGCCCAAAATGACTTGATGAGTCTCTTCAGAGGTACACAAGTGCACATTCATTGTCTTGGTCACTGTCATTGCTGATGATTGTTCCTTCCTACAGTCAGAACATATGTAGAGCTGCACCTGTCATTTGAGGTGGAAGAACTTTACTCAAAATCTCCTTTTTTCTCAACCTCAATGAAGCACATAAACCTAGGCTCACTGCGCACACCTTTTTGGAACATGTCTGACTCAATTCACAAAGCTAACACACCAGGGTAAGGATTCAAATTTTAGGGGACAGTTATTTTTAGCTGAATCCAATGAGATTTTAAAATAACAGTCACACAGTCCTTGTGTAAAGCTTTGTAAATGAAGCCTCCTGAATATTGTCTTGGGTCAGACAGGTGAGGATGTAGCTATGCGGTACCTTTACATAACATTACTTTATAACAAAATCATGATATTATATGCCAGTTCTTTGTTATTATGTTCATTACTGACTCCCTGAATCTGGTGTTGACATTTAAACTAAACTCCAGTCCTCCCTTCAGTCTTGTAGAGTTGTACAACTGTACAGGCTCCTCTTCTGAATTGAATTTGCTTACTTTGATTTCACTCTACACGGTGAGCATCTTACAGTGTGCATTAGAAGCTGAAGAAAGTTAGATAGACTGTGTAATTTTCCTGCTGCAGTATGTCCAGTATCATACAGCCCTTTAGGCAACAGCCTTACTTTCCCTGACTCACATTCATTGGATTTCAATTCTTTAAATCGTGGAGGCTCGACATCCCTTGCGGGCTTTACCTAGGGTGGTCTACATGCAAATGTAGCCTGCCTAGAAATGCCCTAGTTTGTTGGGGTGGACGGGTCTGGAGTTGGATATCAAATATAATAGTGCCACCAGTTAACCTCTTTCTGTGTGTCATCCACATGTTTCTAAAAATGCTATTCAATGTCAATTAAAGAGTCAGCAGAAGTGGACCATCATCGGGTTGCTGCTGCTCAAGACAATCCTCAAAACAGTACAGAAGATCAGCCTGACCAAATTCCTGACCCCCAAGAGCAGCCAGGTGTGTACAAGCGTTCTTATTTCTTAATACAAATGATATTATTCACTTACTCGAAGAGTACTTATTCTTCAGCAGCTTATCAGAATTTACTCAGACATTTTTCAGATGTCAGACCAAGATGATTCTGATTGGTTGTTATGGCTTATTGTAGCCTTTCTCATCCAGGGTTCCTCCAGAGGTTGCTAGGGGTTCCTTGAGCAATAACCTATTTCCACTTCTCAGATATGTAACCACTGACAACAATTATCTTATTAGCTATCTGTAAGGGACCATACTTTCTACTGACCACAATAATGCTGCACACAGGATATAATGCAATTCCCCTTCATGGATGGCTCTTTTTAAACCTGCCTGTAGAATGAGCTCTGCTTTGGGGTGCCCTAAATTACTGATGAACAACTGAATCTTAAATAACGGTTTATTTACAAACCGGTATATACATACATTCTAATTACAATTAAGGGAAATGGAAAGGGGATTTGGAGGGGGTCACTAGGGATAGGAATTGAGTTTAGGATGCTTCAGCTAAGAACCACATTCTCTCTCTCTCTCACTCACACATGCCATGGGTTTTCCTCTGTGCTCAGAACACTTCTCTCCAGCAGGTCTCAGCGAATCATATTCTGGATTGTAGAGTCCAGTCTTGTCCAGGAGGTCACACATGTCACCATGTGACCTAGGTTTGTGCAGATGATCACACAGGAAGAAGGTTCCATCACATGTCCCTGCCCCCATCCCAGCATGTATGCTGCATTGCTGACACAGGTGTGGGCAGTAAATCCCAGCAGGGGGTTGAGCTCGTCCCAGGAGATAAGACAGTCCAGCAAATCTTTATTCATCAGCGTCCCTGCCCCAAGAACCCTTTGATGGTCCTCATTTGCGTATCACATAGCCATATGCTGATTCAGTTCAGGAAATCAAGGAACACCTTTATATCAAAGCTGTATCATAGATGTCAATTTTATCGGTTCCAACATTGCCTGTTCTGTGGATCATTGCTGAATGGTCTTTCAGCTTGTGTGTGTGTGTTACTGTGATTCTACCTGTTCCTGTGTTCTGCTGCCTTGACCCGGATTTCCATTGACAACGCCTGATTGCTGCCTGCCCCTGACCTCTGCTTGTTCCTGATTTATTCTTCTGCCTTCTGCTCTTGTTCTTGGTTGCCCGATTGGCGTTGACCCTGGTCTGCCTGACTTCATCCTGCTCCTGCAGTGTTCCTCACTGACCTTCTGGCTGTATCCTGGCCTGCTTCCTTGGAAACCAGCTTCTGAACTTAACCAGGCACAATGTCCTACATCCCCTGGCACCTGTCTCCACTCTCAGGGGTGTGGGACAAAAGTTACAAAGAAGGCCTCCTCAACTATTCGGTGCTCTACCAGGTACGTGATAAGTGCCTGCCCATGCCTGCAACAGCCCCCAATTATCTGCCCTTCTGCTGAAATGCCAGATTGTCCTGATGGCCAAGAGACTTGAAGGCTGCTGCAGGTAAGTAAAGGAATGCATAGGTAATTGACTTTGTAATGTAATTCTTCCATTGGGTTAGGCAAGCTACTGTCAATTACAAACAGTGTATTGCACCCATTGATGTTAACCATGCGTACCTCTTACTCTGCGGTAGGTGCTCTTTCCAATGGTAGCTCTTCACAGTTCAGCTATACAGACTGCAAGGGTGTGATGTCAATGGAGTCACCAGGGGAGGTTAAGCTGGTCGCTGACAGTCAGGATCATCCCGATGGGTTCAGGTAAGAGTGGCTGTGTATACGATCGTAGCGTCACTCAGTGCCATGAAAGTTTTCCACATATGACAGTCTCATGCTGCTATGAGGATCTCATTTATTGCATACTGGGCTTTTTTAAAGGAGAACCCTAGTAAGTTTTTACTAAATGTTTATTGAGAGCTGTTATTGGTCACCTGAAAGTCAGTTCTGATGTGATTTCCAAATACTCGCTATTTCCTATTTTTAGGATTGTAGTTCATCTACACATCAGGGTTATATATGCATATACAGTACAGATGCAGATTCTCCCTCCAGTGGCTATCTGTATGTCAAACTGGGCAACCAGCAACTTCTGTGATGAAATCAATTACAGAACAAGCCAGTAAGCTGATTGGCTTGTACTGATGAAGAGGAATGGTAAAATACAACGTGCGGCACTACTAAGCTGGAAGGACCCCATGTTATGCTGACACTTTGGTTTCATTGCTATATCATTCTCGAAACTGAAACATGTACCGTATAGAGATAAATAATTCTGACACTCATTTACAGCATGCTTGTTCTGGGCCTGTGACTCTAAAGTATTAAAGTCAGACACAGGGAGGCAACTAGCAGTATCAGAAAGGGTCGGCAATGGCAGCCCTCATATTTTTCTTCCAACAGAGTCACTTTAAATTCAACAAAAATACATTAATATGCAGAAGGTTTAGTTTAAGGTGAGAAAATACAGATACTGTATATAAAAAAGGTCAAGGAGAAAATGACAACTTTAACAATAGAAAGAGCACTGGTGTGGCGTAAGCATGAGCAACCAGTCAGATACAAGTGTGGAGCAAGTGCCCAAGCTGTGGCCTGATTTCTGAGTGTTATCTGCTTACCATTACACTTTAAACTAATAGTCCATATGGGTGTCACCAGTATAGAGATATTGATAGTTAGACAGTAATGACGGGTAAGTTTGGATGTCAAAGTTTGGAAAATTAAAAGAGGAAAGGCATTTTAAACAGGGCTAAATGTATTGCCATTATTTATTACAGGTATTCATATAACACTAACAGTTTACATGCTATTCATTCATATCAGTCCCTGCCCTCTTATCTCATATGCATACATACACTTGGACCAATTAACCTACAAGCATGTCTTTTGAGGGTGAGGAAACCCATGCAAACACAGATAAGACATGCATACTTCTTGCAGGTTGTCCTGGCTGGAATTTGTACCAAGGACCCCAGAGCTGCAAGGCAGTACTACTAAGCCATTGTGCTCCATTGGTGAATAAAAGTGGGCGTCACTTATACCCTGATGGGTGTGTTAAGCTGGCCATACACCTATAGATTATCTGCAGGTTTTCTATGGTCAGATGGAAAAAGTGCAACAGATTCCTCCATCTACGCTAAGCTGTGTGGATGGAGGAATCTCCCACTGGGCCACGCTTCAGTATCTTGCTAGTCAGCCCCGCTGGCTCTCAAAATAACCGATCAATCTGATTGGATGCAGGCATTGTTCAAGTGTTTTGAGAGCCAGCAGGGCCAACGAGCAAGATACTGAAGCTTGGCCCAGTGGGAGATTCCTCCATCCACACAGTTTAGCGCAGATGGAGGAATTTGTTGCATTGTTTCTATCTGACCATAGAAAGTCTGCAGATAATCTCTAGGTATATGATCAGGTTGAAAGGGTTTTTCTTGCTCACTAGAATAGACGTTTTGTGTCTTTGTGCAATCCACTCTGATTCACAGAAAAACTATATTTTTGACATCCTCCATTTTTCCTTATCCTAGCAAGGCTTGCAAGGTGGTCCCCATTTTGACCAGTAGAGGGCAGCAAAGTTCCTGTTTGGAGGAAAGCGAAAGCGGAGGTCTGTCCTAGTGCTATAGAGACAGCATGGGAGATGACAGAAAAGCCATGTGCTGTGTTTACATGACCTTGGCTAAAGGACATCATTCATATAAAAGTCAAAGAAAACACACATTTCATTTTCTGAGGCTCTAAAGATCCTCAAAGATCACAACAAAGACTTAGAGCAGCCTTTCTGGACCTTTTTACATCACAGGAAACCCTAAAATAATTTTCAGGTCACAGGGAACCCCTGCTAAAACAGTATTATATCTAGAGCTTCCGGTACATGAACATGATCAGTAAGTTGTAGATATAATTATAGAAACTATGACTTGTGTAACCATGAAATTAAAAGGAGAACTATGAGGTATGTGAAAATCACTCCTCCTCATAGTTCGAGCCGACGTGTGACAATGAAACTGTCACACGTCGGCTCAATGGATCGGGTAGAACACACCGTCGCTCGCTCACTTCTCGATCATCTCTCTGCAGAGAGCCATGACTGTCACTCATGGCTGCCTGCAGGGATTCCCCCCTCCCCGCTCCGATCTGCCAGCGCTGACTGGCGGAACGGACGGGTACAGCTGGCTCTGCCTCTAGATAGGCAGAGCCAGCTGTCACTCACGCAGCTGGGTGGATCTCAACAGTAATGTCAGGATCCGTCCCAGCTGTGGCGGTCTCAGTATACCGCGAGCCGTAGCTCGCGCTATACTGAGCTTTGGGTCACGGGAGGATGCTAGTCTGTGTCCTCCCGTGACCCTTAGGAGAACTATGGGGAAAAACACTGACCCCATAGTTCTCTTTTAAAATATTGACCAGAAAAAAAAGGCAGACAATGAAAATTGTATAGTCCCCTTACATTGCTGGTAAGTGTGCAAAGAGGCCCACCACATAGCTCAGCGAATCTGGCCCCCCTTCAATCGGCACAAATAAAAACTCCAGTGTGTTTCTTTAGTGCTACGTTTGTGCTGTTTTGTGCCGCAAAAATTGACATTTGTGCTGCATTTATTTTTAAGAAAATAGCAATTGTTTTTTTTAGGGTGATGACATCACCCAGCCCCCCTGCTAGGGTTGCCACCCTAGAAAGATCAGGTCCCCTCCAATGCTAGACCACTGTGCTGTGTGGCAAGGCTGTGTAAATCTCAAGTCTGGATTAACAGAAATACAAATGCTTTGGCTGGTCATGCAATTCCCTGATATGTATTTTATCTGTGTATTTATCTGTTTGCCTGGAGTCTGTGGGCAGCTCCCTGACATGACCCACATTTACAGTCTCTGCTTGATATTTTTCGTTTCAGTTGCCAGGTTGAAGTCCAAGCACCAGCCGACCACTTCATAATGCTGATTATTAAAGAGCTGACCCCATCTCAGGGGCACAACTTACAGGTTTTGATCTACGAGGGAACTCCGAGCAATAAAACTCTTATAGGTTGGTACACTCACACATGACATCAATGACATGAGCAAACTTGCTGCTGTGTTTGCTTGCTGGTGTGGAAAGGGTTACACAACCACTCAGGAAGACTTTGGCCTTTAAAGATCCAAGGTTAGGCCGATAATGTTCACGGTAAACTCATCACGACAACGCTGACACTATTCTCAATGAATACACAGAAAAGTATACGTGATTCCCGCAGGTCAAGGCCCCATGGCCTCTGAAGCTCACTCTGTACACTCGATATACTCTATCACTATGTATAGTTCATCTGATCATTCTTACACTTGGTTTGAAACGGGTGGGAAATTCCAGCCCTCCAGCTGTTGTGGAACTACAAGTCCCACGAGGCATTGCAAGACTGAGAGTCACAGGCATATCTTCCAGAGGCAGATGCATGATGGTAGGGATGCACCGATACCGGTATTTCGGTATCGAGTACGAGTACCGATATTTTTTTTTCGGTACTCGCCGATACCGAAAGTTCCATTAAGGAAGCCAGGCGGCGTGTTATGATTCGCCTCCCGGCTTCCTGATTAGCAGGGAAGCCGTCTCCATGCTTCTCGTCACTAGGTGACGGGAAGGCATGGAGCCGGCTTTCTGGCCAATCAGGAAGCCAGGCGCCGTGTAATGACGTGGTACCCGGCTTCCTGATTAGCCGGGAAGCCGGCTCCATGCTACTTCATCACAAGTGACAAAGGAGCATAGAGCCAGCTTCATTATACCGGAAGTATGGGGCTTGGCATCTGTGCATTTGGGCGATAACGAGTATTCGCCCAAATACTCGGCTCCGATACCGATACTAATATTGGTGCATCCCTACATGATGGGATTTGTAGTCAAATCACAACTGGAGCTGGAGTTGGTCACTCTGGTTTAAAATATTTATATATATATATATATAAGTAGGGATGCACACTCGTCCAAATTTTTCTGATGCCTATTCCCATACTGGAACTTCAAGGTATCAGGAAACCGGGAGCCGAGTCAATACACACTGTGCGGCTTCCTGATTGGCCGGGAGCATGGAGCTGACTTCCCTCGTCACCAGGGAGCATGAAGCTTCCTGGCCAACCGGAACTTCCGGTCAGAGGAAGATTTCCTGACACTATAGTCTGAGATCCCTACTAACTCACATACTGTACATACATACCTGCCTGGGCCAGAAAGTCACACTCTAATATTGCGTTGGACCGCCTTTAGCTTTGATTACGGCACACATTCTCCGTGGCATAGTTTCCATAAGCTTATACAATGTCACAACATTTATTTCCATGCAGAGTTACATTCATTTTTCACTAAGATTTTGTAGTGATGATGGGAGAGTCGGACCTCCGTGTAAATTCTTCTTCAGCACATCCCTCAGGGACTCTCAATGGGGTTAAGGTCTGGACTCTGTGGTGTCCAACCCATGTGTGACAATGATGTCTCATGCTCTCTGAACCACTCTTTCACACTATGAGCCCGATGAATCCTGACATTGTCATTAGGGATGCACAGATACTTTTCGAGTACCAGTGCAGATACTCGGCATTTTCATGAGAACTACCAGGGTTGCAGCGGTTGCAGCTGGGACCGGGCTCTGGCGCTCCACCACTGTCCTGAAATCATTAGTCTGTATTGTTTTAGAAAAAGTGTCACATGTCAATAAACAAAAATGTAGCAGTACTCGTACTTGTAAGTACTCGGCAAGTACCAGTACTCGTACTCACAAAACTGGTATCTGTGCATCCCTTTATTTATATTTATAAAAACAAAATCATACATTAAAACAGAGATGTACAAATCCCAGGAGCTCCGTGTGCTCCTTACAAATGACAGCTGCCTCCTAATTTTTGAATTTTTCTCTAGTGTAGTCTTGGAGCTCAAAAGTATCAGTACATGTACTCGTACTTGTACCGAGTACTGTACTTGGTATCTGTGCAACCCTAATTGTCATCTTGGAATATGTCCAATGTGCCATCAGGGTCATTCAGTATATTCAGATAGGCAGCTGGTCTCATTTTGTGGGCACATATCATTGCTGAACCTAGACCTGACCAACTGAAGCAACCCCCACTTCCAATGGAAGGCTCTTACCTATTTGCTTTGCTAAATCCAGGTGGTGAATTTTTTTGGGGCCAGGCAGTGTATATGCACATACACATACCAGAGTTGATTTAGACAGGAGCCAATTACCTACCAGCATATCTTTGGAGTATGAGAGAGGAAACTATAGAAAACACGCACAAGAACAGGAAGAACATGCAAACTCCATGCAGTTAGAGTCCTGACTAGGATTTGAACCAAGGACCCCCCTAGTGTTGCAAGCCTCTGCGCTGCTCACATGTAAATAAGGATGTCTACCTTTACAGATAGATATATTCAAGAGGCAAGAGAAAATAATATTATTCGATGAGCTATGGTAAAAACAGCTTCATGGGGTACTCAGAATGTGACTCAAGGTGTAAAAAAAAAAACACAACAGAAGTGCCAAACCAAAAGTGAAAGAGTCCAAGTTGCTTTAATGAGTCATAATATGATGACATAAAAACAGCCAACGCGTTTCAGGGGCCAACACACTTTCCCTGCACCGGGGTTGGAATCTTTATCAGGGCTTAAGTCAGTAAAACAAGTTACCAGATGAATCTGTATTAGCTCTAGCTTGCTTAGTCATGGAATATCAGTGAATATGAGGCACCCAACATTAGCAGTGACTTGGACTCTTTCACCATTTGGTTTGGCACTCCTGTTGTGTTTTTATAATTTGAGTGAATTTACAGATAGATATCCAGGTCAGTGGCCCAAACAAAATAAACTTGGCCAGTGTACTTGGCATTGGCAGTCTCCAAGTGTCCCTCAGAAAAGGTTTACTTCAAGCTCGCCCATCCCTTCCTGCATTCTGTGCATTCTTATAGACCTTGAAGGCTGCTCCTCATAGTGATGGACCGATATGAAAGTGTGTGTTGATAAGAAGGATTTTGGAGGCTGCTACAAGTATGTTCCTCTTGGTGCCTGCACTTCATGTGTGCGGCGGTTTGCCCTCTTTCCAGTGACAGAGTCCCTTGAAAATCACATTTTATGGTGTGCTCTTGGACTGTGTCCTGTAGATAAATAGTCTAACCTTCACTCTGCTTTCTAAAAGCTATTACGTCACATTATGTGTTTTCTAATATAATTCTCCAGCTCTCTTTGTTACAGCCAAGCTGACAGCAGACACCATTCCGGGGAAGATAAACTCAACAGGTCCAGCACTTACCGTAGAAGCCAAGACCAGTGTCATCAATGCCCGGCTACAGTTATGGCTGTCTTACACTCTACATAGCCAAACTTAGCTCATTAAGATAAAAAACAGCAAAGAAGATAATTTTACATCCAAAATGTAAATATGTTAAGATACAAGCAACCTATATTTCTGTTGCACGCTATACTTCCTGAAAATTTTGTGTTTGACTATACAATTTCCTGTTGTACCCCATACTTCCTGAAAATGTTGTGTTTGACTATACAATTTCCTGTTGTGCCCCATACGTCCGGAGAATGTTCTGTTTGACTATACAATTTTCTGTTGCGTTCCATACTTCCTGAGAATGTTGTGTTTGACCATACAATTTCCTGTTGCGCCCTATACGTCCGGAGATTATTCTGTTTGACTATACAATTATCTGTTGCACCCCATACTTCCTGAGAATGTTCTATCTGACTATACAATTTTCTGTTGCATTCCATACTTCCTGAGACTGTTGTGTTGGACTATACAGTTTTCTATTGAAGATACATAATTCACGTAGTTTGTAAAGAGCAGCAGTTCACCTGAGGGAAGACCCTTGACAAATGGGTGGGTTTGATTCAGGGCCCGTGTCATACCAGCAATCCAGTACAGACAGAATGAAGCTTTTTATGATGGTAGGCCACAACCTTTGGTACCCCCAGTATCTCCATCATGCAGTCCCCAGAGCTATTCCTCCATTTCCAAAACCTTCATGCTCCCCTCACTAGAACATTTTTCCACTCATTCATCAGACCACAACCTTTTTCTCCTCAACTGACCTTACCATTGCCCTGTCAACTCATTAGTGCAACCCTTCCCATCTATCATGCTAGCAGACCACATTCTTAGAGCTGTTGCCTCACCAATCTCTGTCTGTGCAAACACACTGTATAAGTATCACCCTCATTGCCATTTTCTATCAGCCATTCTTTTAGACCCATAGTACACAAGCCTGACCTTACCAACATCCCTCTCCTCAAACCTCACCACTCTATTAACTCATTGATTATCTATTATTATCTTCATACTACTATTTGCCGTGTCAATTCATCTGAGCTGCCCTTTTCTTAACCAGTACTTCCTCAAGGCCTGTCCCCCTCTCATGATGGGAAACCATAAACCCAGACCAACCTCACACTTTAGCACAGCCTGTCAACTTATCTAAATAGTACCAATGGCTCTTCCCGTTACCAGTAGTTCAATTTCTGATTATGTAATCAATTATTTTGGAGTTGAGAAGCCCCAAATCCCAAGGTGATTGTCATCATCATTCACCTACATGCAACCAAATGCATCATGGCCATCTGGCCTTTCAGACTTCAACTCATGACCCTGTGTTTGTACATCTGTCACTTTACCCACTGAGCTACAACCAACGTTGTTTGTGGTGCCTACTAAAACAAAAAAGGACCTTTGTAGGCACAGAAACGAAGCACTCAACCTACAACTAGTTTCAAGCCCACAAAGGTACAATCACGCTCAGTCTTATTTTACTATTACCACTTTGATTTTAATTCAATTTGCATGTGCAACCAGTTGTCATTGATAGTATTTTTATTGAATCAGAATGTCATTATTAATACAAGCCATTTAGTTATGCAGTATTATCCCTTGCACATTTTAGTTCATTAACAATTGCCATAATAAATCAAAACAGTGAACAGAATATTTGTGTCTGTGAATTATTCCAGTGATTTCAACTGGAAGTCTTTCATTGCTTCTTCAAAGTGAAAAAGATCAACATGAAGGCCCAGTCCATCCGAAAGTATTTTAGTTATTGGTGGGCCTAGTGGGTTGAGTCCAACCCAGGCTACTTGTCTTGGATGCTCATACAGAGATATATGTGTGTATATATATATATATAGTACAGGGAGGAGTTTCATTTATTTATATTATTGTTTTTGTAATACTTAAAAAAAAAGAACACCAACCATCAATATTAAAGATGTAACCATCAACATTTAACCATTTGTCTACCATTGTACAGTTATGAACAGCGAAGTGGTGGGCATTTTTTTCTGCAGTGCTGTTCATAAATGTCATTGCAGAATCAACATGAAGGCCCAGTCCATCATTGCAGAAATAACTCTCGGGTGGCCAGTGGGGGCCGTTAATGTCTGTGATCCCAGCCGTCATTGGGCGGTTCAGATCACAGGTGCAGTATACAGAGCCGTTCTGAGCGGCTCAGTATCTTGTGATCACTGTGATGACCAATCACCGCTATCACAGATATAAACACACTAGTGTTTACATCAGAGAGCCCGCCCCTTTATCTTGAAACAGAGGAAGGAAGAACTAATGAATGAGTAAAAGATCATAGGCAGCGTCAGCCTATATTTAGAGGTATTCATTCAAGTCCTTGGAATGTGGACTGAGGCTTTGCACCATGGTGATTAAGTGCAGGGTATACACTTAATCACTCAAGTACTTAACATACACTGTCTACAGTGGTTTCTCGGGCTCCGAGTATGAATCAATGTGGGTGCCGACGCCATGCAAAGGGCATAAAAACCTACACTTACCACTGAGCCTTGGCTGGCTCAAAAAGGGCACATTTGGGACCACATTAGCTCTCCTGATAGCTCTTGTGGGAGTCATGGCCGTAAATGAAAATGTTTTTGTTTTATTTCATAAATGAAGAAAAGGAAAAAAACAAAACAACTGAAACCAAAGCTAAAAGTAAACCCGTTAATCAGAAAGTAACATGCATGCACCATCAAACTGTTATTGCGCCTGTCAGGCATGACCGCTGGACCAAAGCCACGATTTGTCTGTTACTGCCTGTTGTGGTTAGATGTAAAGACAGAACACGAAACATGTCAGTTCACTGTCTACGCCTGAAAGGAAATAAAGAATATTTGTCTTCCTCTGAGCCCACATGTAAAGAGTTTGGAGGATGCAAGTTTTTTTTTTATTAACTTGATCCTATATCTTTGTAAAGCTTTATATTTAAAAACATATCATGAAAGCAGCCACATGCTCTTAAAGTGTATTTCTACTAGGGATGCACAGATCCCGTTTTTTCCAGTAACGAGTACGAGTACCGTTACTTTGTTTTCAGTACTCGTCAATACCGAGTACCGATACCGGTGCTTCGGCTGCCATGGAGCCAGCTTTCCAGGCAATCAGGAAGCTGGGAAGCGGGTAATGACATTCCTCCCAGCTTTTTGATTGGCTGGGAAGCCGGCTCCATGCTGATTGTCCGAGAAGCTGGCTCCATGTTGTCTGGCCGGCTTCCCTCCAGCTTCCCGGCCAATCAGGAAGCCAAGAGGCAGGTCATTACTCAACGCCCAGCTTCCTTATCGCCTGGGAAGCTGGCTCCATGTTCACCTATGGCACTGACGGTCAGAGGAAGTCTTCCTCTGACCGGAAATTCCAGTATCGGGGAAGGTATCGGAGCATATGGGCGAGTACGAGTATCGGTGCATCCCTAATTTCTACTTCTGCAGCCAAATTTGAGAAAACCCCTCTATATGTTTTTAATTTCTTCATATTGAAACAGCACACTGAAAAATAATTATTCATAAAAAATATTTTTTACCCTTCTAGTTGTCTGCGTGGAGCGAGCCTTTGTGCACACTGCAACCTTCTCTCTACAATCTCAGAAACTCTGCTTGTCCTCATAGAAAGACCAGGGACACCCTGAGCTTCCTCTCATTATCATACAATGCATCTAGATCTTTAACCCTTTGTTAGGACAGACGGTGTTCAGATCTAGTTTACCACTGACAGTGACATCTGCCAGCACAGTTAATGGTAACCATTAACTCCCCAGCCCCCTTGTATTCCAAAGGAAAATTCAGTTAAGAGAAAATGGCTTCTTTACCAAGATGGCCGCCGGCAGGGGTCAATAAGATCGCCGCGCATGCGAGATGACGTCATCGCACTTGCGCGTTGTGACCTCACGCGCATGCGCGGTGACATCACGGCGGGGTGTCACCTGGTAACCACTCCGGGTGACACCCTGCCTCGGGACGCCCCTGGTATTGTGTTTTTGGGCACTACAATTATTTTTTACTGAAATGATGGGTTTCATATATACGAGTAGTTGCGCTAATATCGTGCAACATGAAAATATGTCATTTTATATCTACAGGGTCTCTGCTCTCAGGAAATAGAGAACTCTCGGGGGATTTAAGTCATTCTCAGGCTTAAATGTGGATTATAAGGTGTGCAACAAAAAAGAAAGACAATGCAAAAACGCCTCAGACAGCAAAAGGGTTAAATCCTCTCTGGTTGACGTGACCTGGGTGTAACAAGCAGAGATCAGTCTATTAGTCCAATGGGATATCTCCAGGGAATATAACAAGTGCTGGCACTTGTAGTCCCACATCGAACACAAACACAACTGTCTGATATATGGCTTATTATGAATAGGAAGAGATAGGAGCAGCAGATTCCCCCTGCTCCCCACATGCAGCACCTGTCAGTTTAGCCCCTCCCACCTGTCACACTCCGGCAGGTAGACTAGCAGTGGATCCCTATTCCCCAGTGCAGGGGGGCGGAACCTGTAGTACATGGGCGGGGCGGACGGTGGGCTGTTATCAGGAGCCTCTTGTAGGATGTGCCCTGTGTCTTTATGTGACAAGCACAGATCGGATCGTGCAGGAGTTCACCATGGTGAGGACTTTCATTTCATTTCCTCTTTGTCTTTTACTATATTACAGTCTGTTAGTTAACCCTTCAACTGCTAATACACTGCATATCTCCCAGAACCATGCTGCATACATGTAATACATCCAGATCCATGCTGCATACATGTAATGCATCCAGATCCATGCTGCATACATGTAATGCATCCAGATCCATGCTGCATACATGTAATGCATCCAGATCCATGCTGCATACATGTAAAATTTATGGAATTTGTCCAATTGAAGTGTTAGAAGTGTTTATTAGTCAATGTACTTTTTACACCTTCATGCGACACGTGACAAAACACTCAGGTGTGAGTGGGGGCTTAATCTGCCCATACACTGGTTGAATTAATTGGCTGTCCAGTGGCGCCACAAGGGGGGTGCGGGAGTCATTTTGATGTCAGCCCTTTCTTAAAAGTCGGGCACTCAGTCATGGATCAAGAGCCCAACAGCGGCATGAGAGAAGGGGAGACATGATGGCGTACCTGATATCTCAGGGTCAATGTCCCCTCCCCTCTTTGCTGGTGTCCATCACCAAGACGGTCACCAGCAGTGAAATACATCACCGCGCATGCATGATGATGTCACACCATAAACCTGAAAAGAGGCTTGTGTACTTTTTCGGGCTTCAAACGAGAGGTGGCTCAGGTGTGAGCGGGCGCCATTGAAAATGATGGAATTCATCCAATTGAAGTGTTAGACGTGTTTATTAGTCAATGGAAGGCTGGTTACTAGGAGGGGGAGATGGTTGTTAAATCGCATGAAAAACGCACATTGCGCATGCATTTCGACACTCCCATTGAAGTCTTTGCGGACCAAACCATGCGATTCTGCCCAAAATGTACTTTTCTACACCTTCATGCGACACGTGACAAAACGCTCAGGTGCGAATGGGGGCTTAATCTGCCCATACACAAAAAATGTCCGTCCTGTTCATTGGATTTTATTTTTGCACTGCAGTTGAAATCGATTGTCAATTGGGCACCAATAAGAATTAGAAAATCAAAGGAACATTTTACTGGTGTATTTTACTGGTGTACGGCCAGCTTTAGGCATCTTGAAACATATTAAATATAAATCAGATTGATACAATGAAGCAAACTCAGTGCAATGATTCACATAGGGAGACCGGGAGAAGAAGAGATCATCCCCATCCCAGCAATGTGTAACCTGTTCATTATGAATGCAGCACATACGATGGGGGGGGTGGCCTGGTCTGATGTATGGGAAGAAGAGGACGAGCGTCTATTGGCCCCTTGCAGGATATGAGGTGGTGTCACACCATGGGAGGGTCTGTAGGCACGTGGAGCTGGGATAGGATCCTGAGAAATCCCATTGAAATAAAGCTGCACACAATACTATAGTATGGATTTCAGTCTGTGCATGTAGATGGATGACACTAAACTCCATGGTACAGTCAGGGATTGCAGATGAGCAGGAGCACCTTTTTGTCTCTTTCATTCTAAAACACACAAACACCTCTCAGACTCCCAAACAGCAGGTTTTTGCAGGAAAATTTATTACATTGAAAATCGTACCTGTGCAATGCCACACTGTTTTATTATTAGTAGTATTATTTATCTACTAATCTACTTATTTATATAAAAGAAAAAAGAAAACATTTGGCCATAGCCCTGTAGCCCTCATTCAGGTCTCTGCAGTGCGGCAGCGCATGCAATATCACTTGCAATCCCACAAAGCATGAGATCGCATTTTTGCAATGCTAGCTGAACTGCGGTGCCATTATTATTTAATGCCACCCTGACGCACATGATTGTTGCATTGCAGCGTATCGCGTAGTAACCTATTACCATGTTTTGTGGGGTGATGCAATTTCTAAAAACATGTACAGACTTCTTTGAGTGTGATTTAGCTGCAGTAGGCAGCCTATTCAAATGAATTTGCTGCCCAGTGTCATCACAAGGTGGGTGCGGTCTCCATCAGGTGACACCATCAGAGGGGGTGACAGCAAAATGACTGACAGCAGGGTCAATATCCCCTCCATCACCGCGCATGCATGATGATGTCACACCACAAACATCATAACGCATTCAAGGTGGTGGCAAATTAACGCAGAAGTGAACTCCAGGATTGTCATTAAAACTGCACTGCACAGACATTGCAAATCCAGATGTTACCATATATAGCTAGCAATGACATCATCACAGTCATGTATGTAACCACTACAGAGAGCAAAGCTGTGGGAGGTACTTAGCAGGCTCCACCCACAACAGGCTACCTGCAGAAAACTACAGGGTGGGGCGGAGACAAGACCAGTCACCCTGCAGAAGCAGAGAGAGCAGCAGTGATCGGTCTTTATTACAGGAACAAATCTTGATGATATACACAAAGCTCACCAAGATTCAAGGAAGAGTACACATGATTCTTGTATTCAGACAGTAGAGGAAAAAGCTGTAGAATTGACCTAATTCCTCACTCTTGTGGGCTCCAGCATTCTCCACTGCTCTCTGATGCTCTTGGTTGTGCACGGGTTCTTGCCATCCTCATGTACATGCAGAACTATTGATCCTGCACCTGTACCTGATGACGTCAGGGAACAGCTGCTGTCCAAAATGCTTTGGAGAAGAAGTTTCACACACAGACAGCAAAACAAAATACCCTGATAGGTTTTTAAACCCCCTTCTACTCCTACTTTCCTACCCTTAAAAATGATGTGGCATTAGGCAGCATTAATACTTCCTAATAGATATGTCTTCATATTCTTATATTTCGTATTTTGTAAGACTATTTTTTCTGCATTCTTTCCCCATCTGTGTAACAATTTCTCTTTATTATCAGGAGACCGCAGTGATAGTAGCGCTTGCCGTGGTTGGAGTGAGCATTTTGTTTTTCGTGCTTAAATCACTGGGGACAAAAGCAAAGAAGACACCCATCACCCTCCTGGATCCGAACACAAAATACCCTCTGCCTCTTATTGAAAAGCAGGTACAAAGCTTCCGTTTAATGGCTATTGTAATGTGATCGGTACAAACTGAAGGGATCACATCAATGTAGTGAAATTAATGAGTATATGCATGAAGTAGAGCCCCAATTAAGAAGTAGAAAACTACCCCAATGTGTGATTAGGAGCTTCATTGTAACCAGGTATTTGGGTCATAGAGGTCTTGGGTCTAGGTCATGGTGCAAATAATGAGATATCGCCTCAAGCTCTTGAGTAGTAGGCTGTACAACCTGTTACAGGGTATAATGGTTATGGCCAAATGTTTGTGGTCACCTGACCATCAGACCTATAGAAGCTTGCTGGACATCCTATTACAAAACCATGGCCATTATTGTGGAGTTGCTCCCCCAACCTTGTGGTTATTACAGCCTCCACTGATCCGCAAAGGCTTTCCAAACATTTTTCAAGTAAATGTGAATTTGTACCCATTCAGCCTAAAGAGATTTTATGAGGTTAGGTACTGATGTTGGACTAGAAGACCTGGCACACCATCGGAGTTCCAGTTAATCCCAAAGGTGTTCAGTAGGGTTGAGGTCAGGGCTCCGTGCAGGCCACTTGAGTTTCTCCACAATAAGCTCATGAAACCATGTCTTTATGAAACTGGCTTTGTGCACCGGGGTTCAGTAATGCTGGAACAGAAAAGGGCCTTCCCCAAGAGGAGAACAATTGTCTAAAATGTCTTTGTATACTGTAGCGTTAACAGTACCCTTCAATGGAAACACCTGAACCCAATAATTTGGAGGGCTGTCCACATACTTTTAGTTATATAGTGCAGGTGAGATGGTCGGGACAGTGGACTCCCATAGCACCATGGGTTACTTAGAGAAAGCTCAGCATACGTAGTTAATATCAGACACAATTTCTCTTATTGAAACATCCACTGGAACTGTCTAATAACGGAGTAGACTGATTCATTCATGTGGGGAAATATTTTCTTGGGCAGTTGAGCTCTGTGAACAATAGCGTTTTGACAACAGGTGGTAATGAGAAGTAGGAAATTGTAGAAAAGGAGCTTAAAACTCCACCTGCTGGGTGCATGCCAAAATAAAATATATCTTATATATGTAACGAAAAACAGAAACTTTTTATTGTTTTATTTCTTTATTTTTTAAAGATCTGAGCAAAGCCAATTTAGGCCTGTTATACACCGCCGCCTGTGGCTGTACAAATTAAATGACTGTGTCTTTCCACCACCAGAGAGCCACAGATGCCATGCACAGCCTCCCATAAAAGTCAATGGCTGGATGTCAATATGGCAGACTCTTATAAATTATACATGTATACGGGGCAAACACTAAATTCAGAAGCCTCCATTTGAGGTTGTGCACCCGTACGCATGCATGTTTTTAGGCAAATCCGGCATATGCCTGCATACAATCTCATACAAAAGTAAATGGTTGTACATAGGTGTACCTGTGGCTCCCTGGCGGCAGAAATACTCCAACATTTATATTGTACGGCCACGGGCAGTCATGTATAAGAGCTCAAAGATAGAAAATAGGTACAAAACCACTGTATACATTCCCTTCCTTTCTTCTGCTAAGAATGGACAGGCTTTGTATACACATGTTTCCTTATGGGAAACGTCCTGAGGATTCTTATCATGAGTGGGCTGTTAACAAAGCTGTACATAGTCGTCTACAGAATGCATACATACATGCAAACATCGCTCTATGAGACTACAATCCTGTGAAGAAAAATTTGAACCTTCACATTTTCTACAGTAATTCTTTAACAAGAGTGTCATGTGGTGTTGCCATATATAATATAAGATCACAGAAACAATTTTCACAGTAAATGTTGCATAGTAAAAGTAGAACACATTATAGAAATAGAATGGCATTGAAGAACTGAAATGGAAATGGAATGACATTTTCACAGCAGAGGTCACACAAGCAAAGAACATTGGGTATAACAGTTGGATAGTGTTAAAGAACTGATCTGAACTCACCTGAACCTCGCTTCCAGTTTCTTCAGCTTCTCTTCTACTCTACTCCAGCAATGGGATGTCCCTTCGTGTCCTCACGTCCAATAAACAGTATTGGATGTGATGACTCATAGGACCTTAGACCACCCAACTGGAGGGGGAGCGAGCAACTGGTCAAGCAGGCAGCCAAGGTTCAGGTGAGTATAACTTTATTATGTTCGTCCCTAGATGAAAACGAGCAGCTAACCCTTGCATTGCTGGGGTAGCCCCACAACAAGAGTTAACAATATTTATGCCCAAAGTTCTTCTTAAATTGCTCATTTTTGGCTAGAATAAAAGCAGATTTTCTTTCCTGATCCTCACTCCCCGACGGTCAGCAATCTTCTCTTCTTCCCCTCTGCTTGGGTTGGTGGAACATTCCTCGGCATCGTCAGATCTAATGTATGTCTATGGAACCCCAGTCCTTAGACCACCAGAGCGAAGTGGAGAAGAGGTTGGGGGAACCAGTCTAGCAGCGATGAGTTAGCTGGTGGGAGCAAGGGTCAGGTAAGTAAATCTGCTTTACTCCAGTCCCTAGACCAAAACAAGCACTTACCCTTGCAGTGGAGGGGTAGCCCCCCGGTTGTTTGCCCCGGAGACGGGCTTCAGTCTTTCTGAGCTCTAAGTTCCACTTTAAGTAGTCTTTTAAGAATAATGGTGTCACTTGTGGTTTGTGATTTGTGGTTTGAGTATTATGTGGGATCCTAGGCAGGCATAACCTACTTCCTATTACTCCTATTTTATTGGTGTGTTGAGCAGTTTTGTTGACACGTTGCTATCACTGTTTGCAGGAAATTAGTCATGACACCAAGAAATTCCGATTTGGACTTCCATCACAGGAGCACATTTTGGGACTTCCTATAGGTAAAGATAAAATGTACTCTACATATTAGGAGAAAACAACTTCAGTGTACTTGCCACAGTCCATATCCATATTCAGTAGTTTGTAGAACATGAAGATTTAAACCAGCTGACAGTTTTTTTTAAATCTCTCAGGAACTCTATTTGGGAACTAGCAGTAAGTCACATACAAGTCACATACAACTAGACAGGTCCAATTGAATGTGACTAACTAGCTATGCCATGACCTGGATAAATGAAAACCTTCACAGTCTTCTGGGTCTGGACAACAACTGTGACTATTATGTGCGGTCCTCATTTCCCTGTTGGATTTATTTGTTTTATTTTATATTATGGAAAATGTAATAGGAGGAGGCAATTCCTAATGGCAAAGTTGGTACTTACTTGATACAATGACACCTGTCTACTAGCTCTAGTCTACAGTTCAGATGTCTACAGTTCTCTATGTGAAAGGTCACGTTGATCTGGTTGTAAAGGTAAAATGTCTTTCTGTAGATACAGTTACAGCTAAAAGCAGTACTGAACAGGGGAGGTAGGAGGCATTTGTCCCCTTGGTTGGTGTAAATAATTTATGTGATGCTGGGGACCATGAGCAAACACCCCCATTCAGACCTCAAATACAGCAGGACCTGCAGTCATTGACAGGTGTTGGACATTCTACAGTATAACCATCTACTTCCTGTTCATACCTGCAATCAGGGGCAAGTCTTCTGGCATAACTTCCTTTGAGATTATACTCTCCAAAAATTTTAAAATACATTTTTGACTGTAGAAATACGCTGCCTGGCCCAAAAAAAAGTCACACACTCTATTATTTAATTGGACTGCCTTTAGCTTAAATTACGGCACACGTTCGAAGTGGCATCATTTCGATAAGCTTATGCAATGCCACTACATTTATCTCCATTAAGAGTTACATTCATTTTTCCCCAAGATCTTGTAGTGATGGTGGGAGAGTCAGACCACTGCGTAAAGTCTTCTCCAGGATATGCTAAAGATTCTCAATGAGGTTAAGGTCTGGACTCTGAGGTGGCCAATCCATGTGTGACAATGATGTCTCATGCCCCCTGAGTCACTCTTCCACAGTTTGAGCCCGATGAATCATGACATTGTCATCATGGAATTTGCCCAATGTGCCATCAGGGAAGAAAAAATCCATTGATGGAATACTGGTAATTCAGTATATACAGGTAGGCAGGAGACCTAATTTTTTGGGGACATAACGTTGCAGAATCTAGACCTGACCAACTGAAGCAACCCCACATCATATCATATCACCAGATCATATCACTGCCTGAAATCCTGGTGGTGACTTTTTTTTTGGGCCAGGCAGTGTAAGTTAATACCATGACTGCTTCTGCAGTTATCCCGGAAGTCGAGTTTCTTTGGTTCTTAGTTGGACTAATGAGTTTAGTGCTTCCACCTGGCCAGACCTCTCGGCACAAACAGGCTGAACATATAGAACAACGCTTGACTCTAGTCTAGGTCATATCATGCTGCAGATACAATCATATTATTAAAAAGAAAGTTCCTATAGTAAATCACAGACCACCATGACCTGAGATGACCAGGTCAGGATTTTAGATTTGTGAAGGCCTAACATGGTTAAATCTGTTACATACTATATGGACAATGGAGGATTGCATAGAAAAGGAGACAGTTATTACCTATAATTGCTCTTATGAACTGTCCATAGACCAGGATACATCATCCCATGTGTGTTGCAGTATGAAATCTGGCATTTAAATTTAGATTTTATAGGTAGCTGCTGCAGTTTTTGAGAAACTCTAACAATGGACTGTTCTGCCTCTCAGGTTTATTACAAAAAGGTGAACCCCAAATTCCCAGATGGAGGAAAAATGTCCCAGTACTTGGACAGCTTGAAAATAGGGGACACTATTGACTTTCGGGGCCCTAATGGTCTTTTAGTCTACAAAGGAAAAGGTAAGGTAGAAGGAAACCTTTCCTGAGCAAAACACAGAGTCTGTCATTGCTTTCTTCTCATTCTGCGATTTTGTTGCACTCGCCAAACAGATATAACAAAACGCTTTCAATTGTATATTTACCAGACCAAAAGGGAGCAAATAGGAGAAAGTTCATTGTTATTTGTGTTTTCATACACTTTTTGGTAACCGCTGCAATAATAAGTCAAAATATCTGCTCAGAAATAATATAATATTGATTTGCTTGTATCATATACTGTATACGGAGCTCTCTGGGCCTCTCACTAATCACTGTTTTCTTGCAGGTAAATTTTCCATCCGACCAGATAAAAAGTCTGAACCTCAAATAAAGACCACAAAACACATTGGGATGCTGGCTGGGGGAACCGGTAAGTGCTGTGTGTGTAACAATTGTCATCGCCTTATGAAGGGGCATTGATTTGGCCCTGATAATGTGTTGGCTGCTTTTCAGTACCCTTCTTGACACCTGTGGAATAATAAAACCCAGTTCTGGACTATTGATATGCGTGTTCGGAGCTCATTCTGGATCACGCATATAACATTTATATGTCCATGTCTGTTTGGCTGCAGTGGAGGCATTTTACTAGAAGACCTATTGGTATCAGAGACTGATGGGCACAGTTTTATGTAATCTGTAATGTGCCTTGCAATATGTATGTCCAGGATATCAGATCAATCATATTATTTTTGTATAGGGATCACCAATATATCTTTATCAGTGAAGGATTAGGGAGGTGCCTTGATTTAGAATAGGGAGTGTGTGAGTCTTGGTTGCACAGATTATATACGTTCAGGTCAGATTACTCTCATGTTTGCACAAGGCCAAAGGTCCTTCTCAACAGGTTCCTGGTCTATGCGAGGCTGCACGTAGTCCCTGTGCTGATCATAGAAGGGCAGAGGCAGCCACATTGTGCACTTAAAGGTACACGCAACATTGAAGATGAAGCCAACCCCCAAAAGGAGAAAAGGACTTTTGGGTTCTCTCTATGGAGAAGGGTTTTTTCCTTAATCTTCCTGCAGAGCTCTCCCTGAATGTCTGTGCATCTCTGTATCACCTTGTACTCCCGGCAAGTCCTTCCTGCAGTGCTTCATATGCTGTCCTGTGCTAATGAGACCCATTAAGCAGAAACATTGTCCTTAGGTTGGTGTTCTGTACCTACCTTGTGAAATATGGTGGAAGGCCCTTATCCTCTAAATACATACATTTCCCAGGGTGCATTGCCTAAAAATATTCCTATGTGTGCTTTGCACTCAAGTAAAGTCAATCCTTGAAATTCAGAGAGGACTGTGTGAAGGGCACTTAGGTCACAACACCACTTGCTTTTTCTGTTCTTTGCTTCTTGGGCTATGCCTTATGGCTAAGACCAGGGGAAATTTTTTATACCAGGCCCTATGGCCTAGTCATTGTCTGGCACATTGGCACTTAATAATTTTTCTCACTTTGTGCATGTTCACTTTTTAATGTGTGATGTTTCACTTCAGAAGGATTGGATGGAGGGGTGCGGGTCTTCAGGCCTTCCCTGAAGTCTAGGGGGAGGATCTGTGGCCATTGGGTTCCTTCATTCGGGGGAGCCCCCAACACAGTACTCGTTGATCGGCTTCAGTTGAACAAGATAAATGGGTCCAGCTGGCTTTGGCTAGGTGGACATGAGTGCTCTGCCCCTGTCAGGAGCCTTGCGCCGCCGGAGGGTCAGTGGGTAAGGGCCCTATTGCTTCAGGAGATTAAGACACACCCTAATGCACTTATAGCCGGCCAATAGCCAGCCACTTGCTTGTATATCCCTGCATTGTGTGGCGTTTCCCTCCTCCGTTGCCGCTGCCAGTCATCCCGGGCACCGCTGTCCCACCTGCGGTGCCTGGGACGGTGGTTGCTACTAGAGAGAAGGAGGAGAGATCAGCATTTCCCCCACCGCTGAACTCTCCTTCTCTCTCTGAAGTCGGAAGCGATGTCTATTACATCACTTCCGCCTTTAGCTGTCATTTCACTGGCTGAGAGCCAGAGAAGAAGCTGATGAAGCTGATCTTTGCTTCATCAGTTTCTTTAGGGGTCACAAGGTGACATTAGGGGTTTTGGGGACCCCTGTTGTCTCCATAAAGAGGACCTGTCATGGGTTTTTTAGCTATCACATAGGGGGCTATTATGTGATAGCAATCAAGTTAAAGAAAAGCCTCTACTTTATAGGGTTCAAGAGCTCTGACTCCAATTTCCTCACACACCAGAACAGGACACATCACCTTCATTTTACTTCCCTGCTCTTCTCTTTGGATGGGCAAACCGAGTTTCAGTCAGAGACAGAGAGTCTGAAAGCAGACAGCTTCTGTTGTGCTCTCTCTGCCCAGAAAACTTATAATGCTGTGTGTATCATGTGCCAGCAATGCACCCTGTATTAAAGCTGGAATCTGGGCTAAACCAATATAAGAAGTGTGAGTTCTTCTTGTTTTTCCTTGTGCATTTCTTCTATATCTGTGCAGTATTTGAGTATGGAACAGCTTCTGTACTTTGCTTCTGCGCAGGAGCTTCCTGTAATATAGACCGGTCACTGCTGCTCTCTCTCCTTATGCAAGGAGACTGGTCTTATATCTGCCCCCATGATTTTCTACAGGCAGCCTGAAGTGGGTGGGGCCTTTTTTGGTCCCTCCCACAGCTCTGCCCTCTCTACAAGCTATGTGAAGCCCAATTATGATGTCACTACTACTTTTACAAGGTGATAGTTGAGTTTGCAAAGGTATTTGGTGCACACAGAGATGGCTGTTGAGGAATATAATTCAATGAATGTTGTAATTTAGATTTGATATAATAAGAAAGCTGGACATACAAAATTAACAATTTTTCTCCTGTTTCACGCTAGGTATTACTCCAATGCTGCAGCTGATCCGTCACATTACTCAGGATCCCAACGATGACACAAAATGTTATCTCATCTTTGCTAATCAGGTAATAGAAAACGTTCCCCATCTGTAAAGGTGCCCATACACCTATGTACAGAGATAGGTAACCTCAGTCCTCCAGCCCATGACGCATTGCAAGACTGACAGCCACAGGCACGACTCGCAGAGGCATGATATGATATGTAGTTTTATCACAGCTGGAGTGTTGATGTTGCCTGCCCCTGCACGTATAGATCGTTCAGCTTAATTGTGCCAATTCTTTATGGCACTAAAATCAAATAAGTATGGAAAGCCAAGAGATCAAATAAATATTTGTCACCTACCTGGTCCCGATCCTCTGATAGTACCCTGATTTTTGATGAAAGCTGAACTGTTTACCTTAACTGTAAGTGGTGTCATCCACCTGGCTGTACTGTGAATCTCAGGGCTGGATAGACAGAAGTGCAAATTCTGTTGCCAGGTACAACTGATCCCATATATCTATATGATCTGTGTATTTAGCTGTCTGCTTGAAGATCAGCTTAAACCTGTTAACGCACCTTTATTATTTATTTATATATTTATAGACTGAAGATGACATTCTGGTTCGTGCTGAACTGGAGGCTGCAGCCAAGAGCCACCCGAATCAGTTTAAGCTGTGGTACACTCTGGACCGGCCCTCTCAAGGTAACCCCATGGAGGCTTATTATAATAATAATAATCGATAAGGAGTGATGATTTTTGGAGTGCCATAGCCCGTAACATAGACTTTTCTATTATAAAGTCAGATCAGTGATCAGTAAATCCTGATTGCCTGCCATGGGGGACTTGCACACACTGCTCTTGGCATGTCTCGTATTGTGTTCACCATTCAGACTAGGGGGATGTCCTCAAAGATGTGACCTTTGTGTTGTATACATTTAAAGGGAATCTTTAACATGCCCACTTAGCCCCCGTTCACATCTGTATACTGTGTTGAGTGATCTCTCAGCGCACCAAAACACGCATTAATCTGTAAGATTCAATGCAGTGCTATTCATTGTTAAAGAAGTACTCCAGGCAATCTAAAAATGAACCCCATGGAGAGGGGCTAGCCCCTTACAGCAAGGGCTAATTTCTAATTTTGGTCTAGGGGTAAAAATAAAGAAAATAAACTCAACTGATCCTTAGTCCGCATTGCTGCTAGACCGGTCCCCACAGCCACTTCTCCTCCGGGCTCCAGCGGTCTAAGGACCTGTGACATCATCACATCTAATGCAACTGCATTAGATGTGAGGATGTTGAGGGACATACAACAGCCAGTGTGGAACGGGAGAGAGGTAAGTGGTCACTGCTGCAGAACCAGGTGAGTATATTCTTCATTTTAAGTTGTATTACCAATATAGTGTAGCCCCCATCACCTTTTGTGAGGTGGCTACTAGAAATTTAGTGATTGCCAGAACTATAGTCAGTCTGGCTGAGCTAAAGTTGGCATTTATCTAGTTAATTTTAGGTGTCTGGCATTGATTGTACCTACCTGGGTGGAGTGTGACTCTGTTGCAGTGTGGGGCAACCAATGGGAGGACACTGTGAGTGTATGTGCAGTTCACCAACCAAGCACTGGGTCTCTCTCACTCACTGTTGCATGCTGGGATAGGGTACATATACTGGACGGAATTGCCATGCGCTCAGTCTTGTGCCTGCCATGGATTAGTCCAGGGCTGGGTGCTGTCCAGCCACCCCCCCAGGCTAGGTCTGAGGCCTGAGGGTGGAAATGCTGGAGCGCGGGACGTGTTTCACTAGGCCTTAATAATGGAGGAGGCCTCTGCTATTGCTGGAGGACAACCTGGAGCACTGATGGCTGCTGGAGGTACCCGGAACATAGGGGACCTCAGAGGCAAGTCTGGTGTCCCTCCTGCTGAGGATCTGTGCTCAGCCGCTACTCAAATTCCTATTCGCTTTGCTACAAAAGGATCTACACTTAATGCTAAAAAGTGACTGGTGAGTCTGGAGTCTATGTCTGTACTACCCTGCATGTCTAGGACCCCTATATCCTCTCCCCCAGTGTGAAGATGCTAATAAAAGTTCTTCAGCATTATTCTTTTGGAGTGGATATCAGCTTTGTGGGCACTAGAAGAGGGCGGTTAAATGCTAAGGGGGCAGCTTAAGACCAAAACCCCTAGACCAACTAGTGACGACCTGGGTTATTCTGGCGGCTCCTTCGGGGAGATGCTACAATAGTAACAATGGAGTATGCTTGCCCATTTGCATTTTCTATGTCTGGGAAGTATATAAGGCTGGGTAGCTGGCATTAAGCATGTTCATTATATATCATGTGTTCTTTCCAGGGTGGAAGCACGGCTCCGGTTTTGTCACGGCAGATATGATTAAGAAGCACTTGCCTCCTCCTTCTGATAACCCGCTGGTGGTGATGTGTGGCCCTCCTCCCATGATCCAGTTTGCATGTCAGGACAACCTGACCAAGCTTGGCTACCCTGAGGACAGAAGGTTCGCCTACTAAAAACTGAACAAACCAATGGTGCTACTGGATGCTGGCAACTGAGAATACTACAGAAACCTCAAATTTGGCAGACAGCTACACAATGACGTCTTTTTCTAAAGGCCAACTCCACCCAAAGCTAATCATTCCCCCTCCCCGAAGGCCAGAATAAACTGGTCGTCTTGTTGCGGTTGAATGACCCCCATTACTCAATGAGCGTCACAGAATTCATTAGGCAAGTCTTGGCTTTGTAACAGCCGGAGCAGTTGTGTGGAACTGGAAGTTCTTATGGAACTATATTCAACATCTACAAGGCGGCAGTATGGAATTCAGCTGGGCAGGTACCACGCAAAACTGAAATGGCAAGCTTGAGGAGGGCTGGAGTTGTCCTTTAATTCACATGCTGTAAATCTAATTTTCACTGTCATATACATTCTTGCAACACATTATGATCTATAAGGTCTGTAGGTACATACTCCACATACTCCAATTCTGTTCTCTACGAGTCATTTTTGCCAAAAATCACAGCCCCTGATTGGATTATGGGGGATCATGACATAATCACAGCCCCTCATCCAATCAGAGAATGCCTTATATTCTGACACCACAGG